TTGTGTGACATTATGTCGAATTTGCTTTCTTTCCTCCCTTTTTTTGTTTTGTCCCAATACACACAAAGGGAATAAACATGTGTATAGCAAAACATGTGTTAATGCAATACGTTTCGTGAGAAATACATGATTTCCTGGAGAAATATCAAGGGTGCCAACAATTTCGGCCATGACTGTATATTTTTTATTTTACTATATAATAGAAAAAAGAAAATGTAGAAATGTATACCTTTAATTTATTTTTATTTCTAACAGACAATGATTAGAGTTAAGCTTAACTTTAGGATGGCATAGGTGTTCATGACATAGAGTTGCTCAGGTCAGAAAGGAACATAAAAGAGCCTTGGTTATACCGCAAAGATGAAACAAATTCTCCTGCATAGAATGTACCTGAATATACACAGCCCTTTCTTCTCTACAGCTGTTCAAAGGGCAGAATTTATACAGCTTGTCTGAGCTTTCAGAAGGGTGCGGGGAGCTGAAGTTACACAGCAGATCTCAGCGAGGGGAACTCTGAGAGCTGATTGGAGGGAAGAGATACACCCTCCTTCACACAGCACACAAGAGCAGAGTTGATGCTGTCAATCACAGGCTGTGTGCTGGGTCTCCCTCCCTGTCACCTTTTTACCTCTTGGTGTCAGGAAAACCTGCCATAAGTAACTTATGCTGATAACAGAGGAACACCGGCAGCAGACAAAAATGACACTTAGTGCTCTGGATTAAGGCAAGTACACACTATAAAAGGATATGGTTTATTAATATTTTATGTCAGAGGTTTACAATTAAGCCATATGCTGTTTAGTGACCTGCAGCCTTTCTCGTGTTTTCCTCAGTTACTGTACCAAGGAGTGTTTGAGCTTCATTCCTCCTTCCTCTTTTTCCTCCTCTTGCCATTGTGAGAGGAAGAAGAGGGCCGGCTGCTAGATCACAAGGCACAGAGCTACTCTGACTGTGTTCTTTTTTAGTATTTTGTCTGTGCTGTGACAGTGCAATCACATGCATTATAGATGCAATTGGTGCGTGCATGTGCTTTACAATCCAGGGCATTTATAAAACTTCTTGTAAGAATAATAGGTGCCCCAAGCAGCCTTTTAACCACAGTGGCTGGTTGTTAGGTAGTTAACCCCTTCACGCCTAAGGGTAAAACAAATCTTAACTACATGCCGCCCAGCCACTGTACATATACGGTGGCAGGGGCGGCACTCACAGGCAAAACCACGTTTTAAAACGTGTGTTTTGTAAACAAATAGGGGGCGCGTGCGAGGCGCGCCACCGCCCTATCTGTCCTGCGGATCACCGCCGCAGATGTCAGTCGCCGGGTCACAGCCGCTCCTTAGCGGCTGTTTCCCGGCGATCGGCAGCAAACAGTGACAGAGAGCACAGCTGCAGTAGCTGTGCTGTCTGTCACTTCCCTGTCAGCTCGAGGATGAGCTGATCGAGAAAGAACAGTTTCTCTTTCTCGATCAGCCTTGTCCCGTCCAGTACACAACCCCGCCCCCTAGTAAAAACACTCCCCTCACTCCTATAACCCTTCCCTGCAAAATAAAGTTAACCCCTTCCTCCCCAGTGCCATTAGTACAGTGTCAGTGTTTTTTTTTTGCACTGATCACTGTATTAGTGTTTTTGGGGATGTCAGTGACCCCAAGTCAGTACCCCCCAATGTCAGAATGTCTGCCGCAGTCCCGCCATAAGTCGCTGTCGTCGCTGCCATATGTCCCTGATCGCCGCCATAATTCGCTGATCGCCGCCATTATTAGTATAAAAAAAACCCCTAAAAATCCCAGTATCTTTCCCGCCATTTGTAAACACTATAACTTTCACGTAAACCAATTAATTTACACGTATTGGGTTTTTTTTTTTTTTTTAGCAAAGACATGTCGCAGAATGCATTTTGGCAGAAATTTATGACTAAATTTGATTTGTGCATTTTTTTTTTACTGGACATGTTTTATAGCAAAAAGTCCAAAATATTGTTTTTTTTCCTCAAAATTATCAGCCTTTTTTTTTTTTTATAGCGCAAAAAATAAAAACCGCACAGGCGATCAAATACCACCGAAAGAAAGCTCAATTTGTGGGGAAAAAAGTATGTAAATTTCATTTATGTACCATATTGCATGACCGCGCAATGTCCGTTAAACTAGCACAGTGCTGTATAGCAGAAAAATGGCGTAAGTTGCAGTATTTATACCATAGTTTGTAGACCTATAACTTCCACACAAAGCAATCAATATACACTCATTGGAATTTTTTTTTACCAAAAACATGTAGCAGAATACATTTTGGCCTAAATTTATAACCAACTTTGAGTTTACTATATATTTTTTATAGCTGAAAATAAAAAATATTGTTTTTCTTCAAAATTTTTGGCCTTTTTTTGTTTATAGCGTGAAAAATAAAAAGCGCACAGGTGATCAAATTACACCGAAAGAAATCTCTATTTGTGTGAAAAAAAGGACGTAAATTTCGTTTGGGTGCAGCATTGCATGACTGCGCAATTATCAGTTGAATTAGTGCAGCACCGAGTAGCAAAAAGAGGCCTGGTCATTAAGGGGGGTAAATCCTCTGGAGCTCAAGTGGTTAATGCCTAAGCACAATTTTGCAATGTTGACATGTAAAACTGTACATATCATAACAACTACTTTGTACATCCAGGTGAATTATACCTTGTTTTTTTTTCAGGACAAATTGGGCTTTCATTTGGTGGTAAATGGTAATGGATATCTCCTGTTTTATTTTCATTATCAAAGGAAAACTGGCCCAAAATAGTAAAAAAAAAAGTTTTTTTTAGTTTAGCTGTGTGTTTCTTGTTACTACCATAACCTTCCACCAAAGAACAACCCAAAATAAATTTTCCAGCTTTTGATGATCACAGCGATACCACATATGTGCATGTTATTTTTGTTGTTTGTACCCGTAGTACAGCCCAGAAACAATAGTGTGCATTTTGTTTTTTGTTTTCCCTAAAACACACTGACACTAAGGGGTTTATTTACTAAAGCTGGAGAGTGCAAAATCAGGCTCACTTCTGCATGGAAGCCAATCAGCTTCCATGTTTTATTGCCAAAGCCTAATTGAACAGGATGAGGTTAGAAGCTGATTGGTTACTTTGCAGAAGTGAGCCTGATTTTGTACTCTCCAGCTTTAGTAAATAAACCCCTCACTGACACTGATACCAATTAAAAGAAAAAAAAAAATCCTGACCTTTGACCCTGACCTTTTGACCTTTATCTTTGACCCTGACCTTGACCCAAACACTTACCCTGGCAATGAACTAGATCAAACCTTGATCTAGGTATTTGTTCTTTATTTTTTCTTTTATTTTTTAATATTTATTTATTTTTATTTTTTTTAACAAACTTTTTTTTTTCCCCCTCTATGCCAGGAGTTAGAGAGATACAATTAATCTCTCTCCTCCATTCATTGAGAGAAAAAAAAAACAAGGGGGATGGGCTGTGCAGTGACTGATCACTGTGATAGCCAATCAGAGGCTATGACAGCGATCATGTGACCTGGAATTGGGAGATCGTTAGAACAGGACCCGGGGCTCTCAGTGACACCCTGGTCTTTGTGCTGGGAGCACGCTGTGCGGCGCGCTCCCAGCAGAAAGACAGGTACGCAAATATGCGATCACACTGAAAAAAGTCCAGTTCTGTGAGGCCGCATATTTGTGTGACGTCGGCGCGAAGGAGTTAATATTGTATAGTATATATAAGAGATAATGTCAGGACTAGGCCTCTGAAGAAGACTTCCAGCAGCAACAGAAATGAAAACTGATGAGTGATATTTGGAAACGTTTTATTTACTTGAATATTTAAAGCAGAGTTTTTAAATGAGGGTTTTTTATTTTTGGCAAAGTAAATGAGAAATCATTTAAAATCAACTGAAACTGAAATAATTATAGTTACTTAACCCTGATGATTATTTCCTTTCATTGGAGTTTTTTTTTTCACTTCCTTTCTTTGACTATTTCTGTCGAAGCTGACCACTGTTCAGTTTAGCAACAAGTGTTAATACATTCAGAAAGGGAGGGGCATGTTGAAGGGACACTTCTAATAACTGCAAGCAGAAAACACTATTGCATGTAGTGAACCCCACATTTAGGCAGATCTGTTGTCTCTAGCAATGCAACAAATACAAGTGTCACTCTGCTGTTTAGGAGATGCAGAGGAATGCACTGATTATCCCACAATTTTACGTGGTTTCCCAGTGAATTTCATCTACTGCTATTAGTGATCTTAGCACAGTTTTTTTACCACTGCATATAGATACCAGGTAAGGAAGGCTGACCATAGACACCAGATAATAGGTTTTTGTTAAATTTCCATGCAAGTAACAGATTCTTTACTCTTTCTTGGAGTAATAATTGTAAATACTTTTGGAATGACCTCACCTTTCACACAAGTCTTCTGACAGTTAAGCTGGCCATATAATGTAAGATTTTCGGCTAGTTCCTGAAGAACTGGCCAAAATTTGCTCAGTGGGAGGCCCTATCGGCCACCTTTCCTTTCAACATCCCTTGATTGAAAAATTGAACAAGCCAGGTGGAAAATTGTCAGCTGAAAAGGGTCTGCATTCAGTCAGAAGCAGCCACAGTGTGGGTGTTTCGGCAGCCTGTGGGATCAGATGTCAAAATACAATAGGCAAAGTTCCCTCCATCCATACTGTATAGTGTTAATGGAGAAAAACTGCAGAATGAAGGAAAAAACTATTAGTATATGGACAGATTTTCTTCATTCCACCCCTATCATATGTCTATGGCTAGCCTAAAAACAATTTAAAATTTCAATCACTTTCCTATTGCAATCCACAAGAATTCTTGAGCTATTTTTCTGTAATTTTTCAACTCTGAATTATAATGAACTCCTTGCGGACCGAAGAGGGTTAAATCTTTTGTGCTTTGCATTGAAAACAGGAAGAGGAACTTCCTGATTTATCCGCAGATGTGGTTATGGCAACAGCTCATCTACTTGTTCTGTATGTTTTTCTCCCTCTCCATATAGAATAAAGCACCCTATTATGACGATGTGGCACCTCAGCTGAAGGTTGCTCGTGCACAGGCCTTGTACCAGAGGAAAGAGCTTAGTCCATGGTGAGTAGCTAATGCTGAAAAGCAAACCATATGTTTCCTATGTCTTTAAAATGTTATTTTTTTTGTGTGTGTTTCATACATACATGGAAATGTCAATGTATTTGAAAAGAGTTGATGGCATTATTATTATACAGGATTTATATAGCGCCAACAGTTTGCTCAGCGCTTTACAATATAATGGGAGACAATACAGCAACAATACAGTTCAATACAAGAGGGTTAGGAGGGCACTGCTCCTCGGAGCTTACAATCTAGGAGGGAGGGGCTAGTGGTACAAAAGGTAGTAACTGGGGGATGGACTGGTTGGAAGAGTAGAAGATTCCATTATTAGCTGAGGGCAGGATAGGCTTCCCTGAAGAGATAGGTTTTCAGAAATTGCCTAAAAGTGAGCAGAGTAGGCAATAGTCTGATAAATTGGGGTAGAGAATTCCAGAGGATGGGGGAAGCTCTGGAGAAGTCCTGGAGATGAGCATGGGACTAGGAGACAACGGAATTGAAGGGGAACTCCAGCCAAAACAGGTGTGTGTGCGCGTACGCACGTGCGTGTGTTTTAGGACAGATTGTGAAAGGGTCAAGTTTTCATTGCTATAGATTATTATTTTAACCTTGATCAGGTTTTTATTGCTGCCATGCTTCCGAAAAGAAATGTGTCTATATCAATTTGTGTCCCCACTTCAAAGACGTTCAAGCTGAGTGATACTTGTGATATCCAAGTGATGATGGGCAAACAGCACTGCCTTCTTTCCCTGCCTGACCAGCACTGAGACATGCACAATGCTTTTCTCACTGAAGCCATTTGGACTGGGAGTGAGGGGGGGTATTCCCTGTCTGACCTCAGGTGTGTGCTGTAAACCATGAGAAAGTTTACATTACCGAGGACATGTTTTGGAGGAGCCTGGAACTCTTAAAGAGACCCTGGTAACAAAATAAAAAAAAATCAAGTATTGTAAATCCTAAATGTAGTCAAAATAAAAAAATCAGCACAAGGGACATGACTTACTATTATCTTGATGTGCGTCCTATACTGCTGGCTCCTGCATTCATTCATTGAAGTCTTCTTCCTTTGATCTTTTAGTGTGGCAGGCTTTCATAGAGCTTAGGGTGTTGTGACAGGCACTCTGACCTTTCATTCTTCCACATGTTCCTTGTGCTGTTTTTTTTTTTTTTTTTTGACTAAACTGTATATGTTTATGCGGGGCAGTGCTAGTCCATTCCTTAGCACTGCCCCCTTCTTCCTTGCACTCCACCCAGATGATGGTGCCCAGCAACAGTCTAAGGTATTGGTGGTCAACTTTAATTTATTAAGAGCCTAAAGTGCAGCCCCCCAACACATCCAGAAGGCTGCACAATACAAGTGCATTTTCGTGCGACAAGATGCATTATGTTAAGTAAGGCAGCCCATTCAAAATAAATGGCTTATAATGCACCTCAACACCTGCTGGTCCTGCTGAAGTGTTTTGCAATGCACACTGGAGAGAAAGTTGGAGTGATCGTTGGTGTCAGTGACAACAGTAATAACCCCTAGTGCAGTTGCAGTGAAATGTAGACCCCTACCCCCTGGTGACCAGTGCAGTGAAATTTAGTCCCCCACCCCTTACCCCTCTAGTGGTCAGTGCAGTGTGGCGGTGAGTGTAACCCCAAATGTCAGTGCAGTGTGGCAGTGAAGTTTAACACCCCACTCTGGTGTCAGTGCAGTGTGGCAGTGTGACACATACTCCAGAGCCGCTCTCTTACTCTCCTCAGTCTACACAAGGAGGCTGGGAGATAACAGTTTATTTCAGTCCCAGAACACAGAAAGTGTTTCAGCACCTCGCTGCTGTTCTGCAGAGTTGTGCCAAGCAAGTGGTGGCCCAGGGCACTGTGTGCAGCACATGGAGGGCCAGTGGGCCATGTGTTGGGCACCACTGGTCTAAGGGCTTTTGGATATCTACAAAAGGTAGGTATCTGCAGATAATACTATACATAAAGTATGTTAAATACACTTATTATCTTATGGGAAGATTTTTGTTGCAATTATTGGTCTGAGGCAAGGCCTCTGTACCCACTAAATAGATACAACTAATGTGTACAGCAGAGTTTCCCGGTAAAGTATTGTAAAAAACTACACAAGGGCAAAGGCAGATGAATCTTAAGAATAGGTGAATGTTTAAGCAAGTGACAAGGGGGAATGTTTACAACTTGTGAAGAATACAATAGAAGCACTGAAGGCCATTCTATAATAGCTAAGAGCTGTTCTTAAATTCAACAAACTCACTGTGTTATCTTTTTCTTGGTACAGTATGTCCCTCCCACTGGACAGCGCAGACATGAATGATATGTATGCAGTGGTGCAAAAGAGGCCACCAGCTCCATCAGTCTCCTCTGGGTCTAAAAGTCTACCTACTGCCTTCCAGAACCAGGCGCTAAACTCATCTCACCACCAGTATGATAACGTCAGACCGCGCACAATGTTTTCTAAGCCTACAGACCAGCTGTACAGCACCGTGGCTATTAAACCCAACAGGACATCCACTGTTCCAGCTTTCAGTCCAACCACCACCTTGCCAGTCTCTTCCTCGTATGCTTTAGCTGGTGCGCCAGGTTCGCCAGAGACTACATCTAATGATTATAGTCAGTTCAACGTTTCCAGTGCAGGTAAAGAAGTAGAAGTAGATAGGGGCAGGTTTACTATTTTAGGACTTCTTCCAGGCGCAATTAGCTCTTTTTGCTGCTTTATACCTGGGGAAATAGAGTGAGAATTTTGTCTGGTGCCATTACTGAATGATGGATGGTCCAAGACTGTGGGACATCAAGGGTTTATTTACTAAAGCTGGAGAGTCCAAAATCAGACTCCCTTCTGCATAGAAACCAATCAGCTTCTAACCTCAGCTTGTTCAATGAAGCTTTGGCAATGAAACCTGGAAGCTGATTGGTTTCTATGCAGAAGGGAGTCTGATTTTGGACTCTCCAGCTTTAGTAAATAAACCCCCAAGTGTTCTCTTCCTTTCTACACTTAAGATGAGTTTATCGTAAATAGGAGTAGATGTTGAATGAACAACAGGCTTTATTATTTGTTTTGAGGTATTACCCATAACGATAATTTAGATGCAATCACTAATTATTCTGTGTCAGAATGATTGTTTTGGGTAAACAACTTTTGCTGTCCCCTCTCAGAAAATCTCTTCCGTCCATCGAAATTACACAATAATTCTTATTTTGAAATATATCTTAAAGTATGTTGCATCTGTTTTGCAAAAATGGGCCTGTTTTTCTGCTGTGTACCTTAACAATCATGTTGAGTTAGTCAAAAAGCAAAAGTAAAAGGTTCAGTAAGCTTTAGAAATAATCAGCAGTTTTGTTGATGATCTATTGATCTGACACCACTAAAATACTAGAGGTTTCCTGCTTTCAGAGGAAAAGTATAGCACCTACCTACATTCTCAATATTTCTCCCCCCCTCCCAGGTGTTGCTGGTCAGGTTACAGTTCACTGAAGAAAAAAACAAGGCTTTCTCTGAATGGCAGCAGTGCCAAGAGAGCAGACTCCTGCGTCTAATATGCAGAATTGCTGCAGATTGACCTGGAAGATTGCTGCTCTCATTGTAGTAACTACTGCTACAGTGATTTGCAGCTTACACAGGGAACAATCAGGCACAAGATAAGCTGGATCAAAGTAACTATGTAAAAAAAAAAAAAATCATACCTAAACTTCAGTTTAATACACTACCAAAACTATGCATATAAAAATATAATTTTCAGGTAAACAGCGCAATAATAGATCAAAATATAAGCTCACTGAAACTGCACCATACCCTCTTTTTTAAGTAAATCTGGGATTTTAGGTACATCAGAGATTTACCTATCCTCTACCACCGTTTTAATTTATTTACAAGACTGTAAATACAAGCAACTCACAGACATAGAAGCGCAGGGCGCTCAAAAGAATGCAGTCGTATATATATTTATTAAAAAAGCATATTTCATGTTTGTAATGTCTGGTTTGTGCTTGTGGGGCAGTGGGTAAAATGTCTGTTCATTCTGTACTTTTGTCTATTTGTTATTCGTTAATAAAACAATGTTTCTACTGTTTGTCTCTATGTGTGACTATCTGGGTTCATGGTGGGCTCATTATTCTGATGTTATATGAGCCTGCTGTTCTTTGGTTTATGTGTACTTATGGCTGAGTTGTCTGCTGTGTCTCTGTATGTCTCTTGTCCCGTGGCACTGTGCCTATAAGTCTGTATGCTGTGCTGTGACTTGAAGTGTGTATATGTGATTTTCTGTGGATACTGGGCATATTCAATTATATTTTAGCTGTAGGTGTGTGTTGTTCTGGGGATCTGTACGTATGGCTGATATATAATTTTTAGCACAGAACTTTTGGGTGTAAAAGGTTTTGATGCTAACTAAATGTATACCTGAAACAAAAATTCATCACGGCTGGAAGGAGACAAAATAAAATGTTTAAATCCTACATGCTTCACCTAAGCCCATAATCCTAAACTTAAAGTGTACATTTTTATAAAAATTTAAAGTCAACAGCTACAAATATTGTAGCTGCTGACTTTTAATAAATACACACTTACCAGTCCAGGAATCATCACCTGGGCCGGTTCTTCTCCCGGTGTTTTGGGTTCCTGGCGCCGCCATCTTGTGGTAAGCCAGCTATGACTTTCCATGGCTTCACAGCTGGGTCCCCACTGTGCATGCGCAGGTCATGCAGAGCTTTCTGAATGGTAAATAGTAATGTGATCAGAAGGAACAGCTATTTAAAAGTGTATTAACATACAATATATGACTGATGACTTGAGATCTTTAACCCTTTGTTAGGACAGATAGGGGTTGATTTACTAAAACTGGAGAGTGCAAAATCTGGTGCAGCTGTGCATAGAAATCAATCAGGTTCCAGGTTTTATTGACGAAGCTTAATTGGCTACCATGCACAGCTGCACCAGATTTTGCACTCTCCAGTTTAAGTAAATCTACCCCTTAGGCAGGCCATAGACGTGCCGTTTATCGGCCGAAATTTTCGGCCGATAAACGAAAAAATCGGTCAGCACCGTTGTCGATGCTGCCACCCATGTCCATGAAAAGACCATTTTTTTGTGGATTTTCCAGCATGACCGATAAAAATAAATGAGGAGATCCGCAAAAAACGGTCGTCGGGCTGGCCCCACTAACGATGTGATTATCGGCCGATTTTTTTTTTTTTGTGTGGACCAAAATTCAGCCGATAAACGACCCGTCTATGGCCTGCATAAGTGTTCAAATCTAGTTTATAACTGATAATAAGATCTTCCAGCACAGTACAGACAGGGTTACTTATGTTAAATATTAGTCCACGACCCCTCCTTAATGTTAAAAAGCAAGGGAAAGCTACGTTGGATTTTTAAGCATATAAAAAAAAACAAGAAGGCTATGCTATGTTATTGGGAACTTGTAGCAGATATAAATTAGGTGTTATACCAATCTGGCTTCAAAAGCTGAAATACACTTTTAATGTACTCCTCAATTCTTAGTGCTGACCATTGTCACAGAGACAGAAAGGGGAGGGAACATCCACATTTTAAGAGTTGTCACCAGCACAAAAGGTGAAGATAAATCTTCTAAGGAGGACACTTGCTTTGGGAACAACTATCTAGGAGAGGAATTCCCAATACCTTTGGAGATTTCCTTTCATTTCTTGTTGCTGCTTTTAGACTGAATATGGGAAATCTACAGAACAAAAAAATAAGCTGACAAAAGTTTTAACCCTTACCTACTCTATCCAAAAGTTTAAAAAGTTTTGGCTATACATATATTTTACCTAATATTTATTACAGTTGAAAACAAAATATTAGGCTGAAAATGATTGATCACATGTGCATTAGTTTTGGGGCTGTCTGTTGATATGTTACTGTAGGACTGTGGCAGTACTGTCAGTGGTGTCTGTGTGGTTTTGGCTGTTGGAATATGTGGCTTTCCCCGCAATTGTAGTTGTTCTGTTTTACTTTGGCTGTAAGTGTATCTGTAGATTAATTGTTGATGTGTCTGTGAGTCTGTGTGCTGATCTGTAACTATAGACATATCTGTTGTTGTCCTTATATGTGCCTGTTCTCATGTTGCTATATGTGTGTCTATTGTTACATGTCATGAGGGATTCAGTGAGCGCTAACCAACACAGCAGCTGATACACTAAAAAGGAAAAACCATAAACCTTCAAATAGACAATATAGGATAAATAGTGCAGCGCTAGATGATATATGACTGCACCAGTATTTAAGGTGGTGCAATATCCCTTAATCTAATGTCAAATAGTGTAGGCCACATATATTGTATGTGACCTTCCCAAGAAGTAAAAAAAGGAAGTAATGACGTGTACTTCACACGGCTTCACTTCACAATAAAAACGCACAATATGAACGCACAGTATAAGATAGTCCAATAATAGTCTAGTAATCAAAAAAGCACAGATAGATGTATCTTGATAAGATCCTTGTGATGCATATAATCCGGCGTTGTGCAGAAAAAATGAATAAATTGCGCACTCACCGGAAGCACAATAAGATTGTGCGTTTATATCTCATACACCAAGGATCACTCCGGCTGTGGATGGAAGGAAGCTCTGAACAGGTGATTCCGTGATGGGGGGTAACACATCTGGGGGTCCCTTATGGTAGACCAGGCTCCAAACAGGATCAGCTGAATGTTACTCTGGGCCTTGGGGTAGTCACCTGGTGGTCCTGAGGGATTAAATGCTCGTTGTGGAGCAAAAAGGAATACCCATAGTGTAGTATTTAAATCAAATTTAAAACGGATTTATTGAAAATTAGAGCAAGAAACACTTAACATGAGTATGAAAGTAAAATCAATCCTTGTGCACAAAGGATGTCATGAAATACACACTGACCAGCTGGTATAGAAGAGTGGCCGCCGGACCTCCTTGATCCGGCGGCTTGACGTCACGGCTAGCAGGGGCTCCTCCTTGACGCGCGTCAAGGAGGAGCCCCTGCTAGCCGTGACGTCAAGCCGCCGGATCAAGGAGGTCCGGCGGCCACTCTTCTATACCAGCTGGTCAGTGTGTATTTCATGACATCCTTTGTGCACAAGGATTGATTTTACTTTCATACTCATGTTAAGTGTTTCTTGCTCTAATTTTCAATAAATCCGTTTTAAATTTTGATTTAAATACTACACTATGGGTATTCCTTTTTGCTCCACATCGAGCATTTAATCCCTCAGGACCACCAGGTGACTACCCCAAGGCCCAGAGTAACATTCAGCTGATCCTGTTTGGAGCCTGGTCTACCATAAGGGACCCCCAGATGTGTCACCCCCCATCACAGAATCACCTGTTCAGAGCTTCCTTCCATCCACAGCCGGAGTGATCCTTGGTGTATGAGATATAAACGCACAATCTTATTGTGCTTCCGGTGAGTGCGCAATTTATTCATTTTTTCTGCACAACGCCGGATTATATGCATCACAAGGATCTTATCAAGATACATCTATCTGTGCTTTTTTGATTACTAGACTATTATTGGACTATCTTATACTGTGCATTCATATTGTGCGTTTTTATTGTGAAGTGAAGCCGTGTGGAGTACACGTCATTACTTCCTTTTTTTACTTCTTGGGAAGGTCACATACAATATATGTGGCCTACACTATTTGACATTAGATAAGATTAAGGGATATTGCACCACCTTAAATACTGGTGCAGTCATATATCATCTAGCGCTGCACTATTTATCCTATATTGTTACATGTCTGTCTGCTCTATCACTATAGGTGTGTCTGCTGTTCTGTGGTTCTAAATGTGCCTGTGGTTTCTACAACAGCAGATATATCTGTTGTTCTGTGACTGTAGGTGTGTGTTATTTTGTGATTATTTTACCTCCTCTCATAGTAGCTGTTTTTACCAGCTCTTTTAAATACAACCCTTGCAACAACATAGCAGTTATAAATATAAGAAATCTGAGAGGGTTTAATAGACTATGACTTTCTTCCCATCGCAGTCCTTAAAAAGACGCCATCATTCCATAATTCGAAGGGAGACAACAGATGGAGCCAAAATTCACCAAGTGTAAGTATCTGAGCAGGACCGTATAATGTTTCTCCTCTTGGTATGTCCCATACATCCAATCAGATTCTCAGTTTATTTTTCAAAGCACAGTTGGGTCGGTTGTCTTTTCTGAACAACAGCTATATTATGTTAAGAGTTTGAGAAATGATACTCAGTGGTGTTCATTAACTAAAGCTGGTTCACTCAGAATCTCTGGCACCTGTGCATTGTAGCCAATCAGCTTCTAACCTCAGCTTGTTTAATTAAGCAGCCCGTTTCACTTGCCATCCTGTATTCCAGGCGCCGGCATCTTCAGTGTGGGCACCCGGCTGTGACAGCTTGCGGCTGAGTAGCGCTGCGTTTCCTGAATGACCCCCTTGTCTTCTGGGACCTGTCACGTGTCCCACAAGACTACGGGGAGGGAGGTTAGGAGGACAACTTCAGCTTCCGATCACCTAGGCAAAAGTGCCAATCCTTAATGGGGAGCAGGGGACCAATCATTAAAGCAGAACTTCCCCTTTTGGGTGGAACTCCACTTTAAGTTCTGCTTTAAGAATCTCTCATCACCAATCCATGAATGCTGTAATGGGTGTATTGTCTGTTACTTTAAACAAGCTGTTAGCTGATGTTAACACCCCGGTCACATCAAAGCCGATTTTTAAATCATGCGACTTACAGTGAAGTTGCACGATTTCAAAATCGGGTGACCTGCCGATTTCCATGTGATTTGCCAGACATCCGACACAGATGTCTATGCAAATCACAACAAAAGTAGTGCATGCACTGCTTTAGAAATCGGTGTAGCTCTGACCAAGTTGGAACCGCACCGATATGACCACTCAAATAGCGGAAAATAGGGTGCAACTTGGCATACGATTTGCAAGTCGCCTGGCATGCAAAATCGCATGCCAAATCACACCCGATGTGACCGGGGGCTTAACAAACTTCAGATAAAGTTGTTAAAAGCCCATTAACATCTTAGCAAGCACTTCTCTTAAAGAAAACATGTCAAGCTAGTATTGGAGCTGACCCTGCTGACTTGCTTCTCAGGTGCAAGCTCCAGGTCTGTCAATTTGTTCTTTTTTATTACCTTAGTCCCTACCACTGATACATACAGCATATGTTTCTTCAAGGTCTACGACTCACCAAATAGTAAAAAAGAAAGGTGACCACCCAGAAACTTGCAGTTTAAAAAAAAAGTCACACTTGGTGATAGGAGCAAAAAAAGCTGCTGAATCTTGCTTGCTGAGGCACTGTTCTTCAGATTAGTGTGGCCTTGCCTTAAACCTATATTCCCAAGGAGCCTACATACCTTTGTGTCCAGCCCAGGGTTGTTAACAGCCCAAGAAAAATAAAGGATATCTATGCTATCCATAATGCCCCCCCCCCCCCCCCCCAAAAAAAAAAAAAGTTATTGTTATGCCCCCGGATATAAGGGATTATATTGTTTTATTATGTTAATATGAGCTTGATTGACTATTTTAGTTTAGTGGTTTTGTCCCAAATATTGGGAGGCTCTCAAGGGCACAAAGTACTTTACAATTTGACACCAAACCAGAGCATTATTTTCATCACATACACATGTGTTAGTATAATATCATTGTCAGCATTATGCTAATACAGAGTGATTTAAAAACATTGATGTGATCCATTGGTTGCTGTGGGTAGCAAGCATCATTCCTCTATCACTTTAGTCATTAGGCTCCTTAGCCTGCAGTGGCATCACTGCCAGCACCATTACAACACTGTAACCGTCAAGTTAGTAATTTAGGAAAAATAAACTAATGTAGAGTTGATGCCCATAGCAATCAATTGGATTTCTTACTCAAAACGGTATTAAAGCAAAAAAACAAAAATGTAATACATTGAAGCTTACCAGTCCTTAAATATTGTGGCTGTGTTCTTTTTTTTTTTTTAGACTTTATTTTCACCTGGTGATCCAGTCAGTAACATACTTCCTGTCTTAGGATGGCTCCACTGTGGATGGAGAAGCAATGAAGCCATCCTTGGACAGCAGCATTATCAACCTAAGGAGAGAGTAATATTAGATGCACTAGCAGCTTTAGATGGCTTTGACTAACAAATTATTATTATACAGGATTTATATAGCGCCAACAGTTTGCTCAGCGCTTACAATATAACGGCAGACAATACAGCAACAATACAGTTCAATACAAGAGGGATAGGAGGGCCCTGCTCCTTGGAGCTTATAATCTAAGAGGGAGGAGCTGGTGGTACAAAAGGTAATAACTGTGGGAGATGGACTGGTAGGAGGAATAGAAGATTCCATTATTAGCTGAAGGCAGGATAGGCTTCCCTGAAGAGATAGGCTTTCAGAGATCACCTAAAAGTGAGTAGAGTCGGCAATAGTCTGATAAATTGGGGGTAAAGAGTTCCAGAGTATGGGGGAGGCTCTGGAGAAGTCCTGGAGAAGAGAATGGAAGGAGGGGACAAGGGAGCTAGAAAGTAGGAGGTCGTGAGAGGAGCGGAGGGTCCGGTCTGGGTGATATTTGGAGACAAGATTGGTGATGTAATTTGGGGCAGAGTTATCAATGGCTTTATATGTTATTGTTAATGTTTTGAACTTTATGCGTTGGGCAAAGGGAAGCCAGCGGAGGGATTGGCAGAGAGGGATGGCAGATATGGAACGGTTAGTAAGGTGGATGAGTCTGGCAGCAGCATTCATGATAGACTGAAGAGGGGATAGCCTGCGATGAGGTAGGCCAATGAGGAGGGAGTTACAATGGTCAAGGCGAGCGATAACAAGGGAGTGAATAAGTTGCTTAGTAGTTTGAGAGGTTAGGAACGGGCGTATCTTTTAGATGTTGTGGAGGTGGTCTACAAGATTTGGACAGCGATTGGATTTGGGGCTGAAAGGACAGATGGGAGTCTAAGATTACATCTAGTACCCTGGCATGAGGGGGGGATGATGATTGTGTTATTGATCTTGATGGAGAAGTCAGGGGAGGGGGCATGGGCTGGGGGGAATGGTATGAGCTCTGTTTTGGAAAGATTGAATTTGGGGAAGTGGAGTGACATCCATGCCGATATGTGACTTTGTAGTTTAGTAATGCGAGAGGAGACTGAAAGGTTGAGGTGAGGAGTAGAAAGATAGATTTGTGTGTCATCAGCAAAGAGATGGTACTTAAAGCCATGGGAGCTTATCAAGTGACCAAGGGAGGAGGTGTAGATGGAGAAGAGAAGGGGTCCAAGGACAAAACCTTGAGCGACCCCTACAGAAAGAGGGAGTGAAGAGGAGGAGACAGAGTTATAGGTAACGCTGAAGGAGCGCTGCGATAGGTAGGAGGAGAACCAGGAGAGAGCAGAGTCTCGGAGGCCAAGAGAGTGGAGTTTTTTGAGTAGGAGGAGATGGTCAACAGTATCAAAAGCCGCAGAGAGATCACATGAAAGCCAAACTCCAGCTAACACTTTTTTAGCAGTTACAGTAGCAGTTTTTTGTTCTATAGCTTATACATGAATAAAAGCTGATAATTGCCATTACCATTGTCAGTGTTAAATGGTTTGTCTCAACCCTCTAACTGTTTGCTACCCAGCTTGGTCTGTTTACCAAAGTTAAAAAATAATAAACTTATTGGTTGGATCACCAGTTGAAAATAAAGGGAAAAAGTCTAAAAAAGAAAAATGAATGAAGCCACCACATCCATGAATTGGTAACCTGCAATATAATATATTTGTGTTTTGGGTTTAACACCATGTTAACTTTTCTATAAAATAAAGATGCTACTTGATTAACTTATGTAGGTTATTTTACTTTGGGGTACCTTCTTTAGTTTGGGTCATTAGGCCATCAAGGGCTGTTTGCAACTGCTGTAGCACATCTTATGGCCCTGACCAGATTGGGACTTTGACTCACACATATATAATCTAGAGACGTACAGCAATATATAAAACTTGTGAAGGCTGTCATCATGTGTTGTTTCTAACATGCAGTTGTATTTTTAAATTTTTCATGATTTAGGCAATGAAGTCAATTGTAGGTTTTTCACAGAGTACAAAGATTTCTCAGTTCAGCCTGCCTTTAATTTATAGATATCTCATGTAGTGTTTATTGAGATTACTTTTTCCTGTTGTGACACTAAATCTGTTTTATTTCAGAGTTATACAATGTTTTCCAGACCGCCAAGGTAAGCATCTGAGAGGTCTTCAGAGGAATTTGACATTTGAAATAGAGTTTTGTTGATTAAAAACTCAAAAAAATACCTTATACAATGCAAGTGTTTTAGAAAACATTGCAGCAGATTAGGGTAGGCTGTGCTAGAACACTTTTTAAAACTGACCGCAAAGTGAGAATGACTTTACTACAGTCACATGATTGGTCTCAGTGTTGCAATAAGAACAGCTGACATCCTGATATGGAGAATATTTACAAGGTCCAAAGATGATGCAACAGGCTGTCCAGACTTTTGGAAAAACAACTAGCCATTTACATGAGCTGAAAAAAGTAGAAACAATTCTAGGTAGTCAATTACAGAGACTAATGTTGCTATGGGGGCAAGGAAAAGAATTGTAAATGTTTTCTCAGGTTTAGAAGGTCATAGCAAGCTATAGAATAAAATGGAAAGCTAATTGTTGTCAATATTACATTATGAATTGGCCTGTGCATGTTTATGGAGAAAAAAACCTAGCAATCAGTGGTAATATGGTAAAAAAAAATGTGCATTTATTATTTTTGTCCAAAAGGTGAACATATCCTTTAAGCCCTGAGCATCTTAGCACCCCAAAATATGTTGGCTCTATTCTACTATGAATCAATTTTATTAAATTACCTTAGATGCTTAGAGATTTGTTTGATGCTTCCCTTGGATTGTATGTGTGTGGATTCTCAAACTTTGAGTCCTTTCCCTTTTTCCTGAGGGTGGTATCTGGTTTGTGGAGTGATGCTGAACCAGAGCCAGTGTGCCCAAGGGCAAGTTCAGTGACCCTTAGAAAATCAAAATCTAGCGTCCTGTTTGTTGTGATGCTTAAGTATGTGGAAGGTATATTTATTGGGTCCCATGACATCCACTCAGATGCCTCTGTGGTCAGTTTGGACATCAGCATTTCTGACCCTGAATGTGAATTCCTGTTGCTAGTAACAAGGATTCTATACATGCAACCAACTTGGCAGCAGAAGGCTTGGGATGCACCAAGAGCGAGTGGAGATCAGGGGTGGACTGACAACTCATGGGGCCCCCGGGCAATAGGGGATCATGGGGCCCCTGTGTCCTTGCCCAAACTCAAAAAAGCCTATGAAAAAGGTACCAGGGGCATCTCATGGGGCCCCTTACTGACCCCGGGCCCTCGGGCAGTGCCCGAGTTTCCAAATGGTCAGTCTGCCCCTGGTGGAGATGTTTAACCAACCTCACAGATCAGACAAGTTTTAGCAAAGAATGAAATACCGCATAGAATGAAATATCGCATGGAATGAAATATCGCATAGAATGAAAGTACACAGAATGAGATTTCACAGGAAGGCAGTGACTATTGTAACTGGTGCAAACCACAATTACCAGTATATTTATAGACCTCATAAATATCATTGCAGCTTTTTAAACCAACTTGTTAAAGCTTGTTCTCTTGTATAAAGAATACTTACTTTTTTCTGGAGAAAATGCTGTCTTAGATACCCTTCAGTGGGAGCCACATGTGTAAATGGCATAGGCAGCTGATCACATAATCTCTGCTAGCAGTAAAGATCAGAACTCTGTTTCTTTTTTTCCCAAAATGAATCACATGACCAAATCCCTAACCCTGCAGAGAGGAGGGCAGTACTGAAGGAAACCTGAAGAAGTAAATCTTTAAGCCCTCTAAGAGCTCTTTATTTATCCTTTCCAGCAAGGTTGCCTCTACTTGGCAAACCCCATCTGCACATATTTTTAACTTGGGTGGTCTCTTTTCTTCACTTCATTGACATATGACTGTGTCTGAAAAAATGCTCATGTATTGGAGGTGAGTGGGGATAACACATTTTATGAGGGTGTTGGTTATTGGACTTTATATTAGCTGTTATAGCAGCACAGAGAGATATGCAGTTTTAACTGGTACTTACATTGCCTTGAAAAAGTATTCATACCCCTTGAAATTTTCCATATTTTGTCATGTTACAATCAAAATCATAAAAATGTATTTTATTGGAATTTTATGTGATAGACCAACACAAAGTGGCACATAATTCTGAAGTGGAAGGAAAATGATAAATGGTTTTCAACATTTTTAACAAATATCTGAAAAGTGTGGCGTGCATTTGTATTCAGCCCCCCTGGAATCAATACCTTGTAGAACCACCTTTCACTGCAATTACAGCTGCAAGTCTTTTTGGGGATGTCTCTACCAGCTTTGCACATCTAGAGAGTGACATTTTTGCCCATTCTTCTTTGCAAAATAGCTCAAGCTCTGTCAAATTGGATGGAGAGTGTCTGTGAACAGCAATTTTCAAGTCTTGCCACAGATTCTCAATTGGATTTAGGTCTGGACTTTGATTGGGCCATTTTAACACATGAATATGCTTTGATCTAAACCATTCCATTGTAGCTCTGGATGTATGTTTAGGGTCGTTGTCCTGCTGGAGGGTGAACCTCCGCCCCAGTCTCAATTCTTTTGCAGACTCTAACGGGTTTTCTTCTAAAATTGCCCTGTATTTGGCTCCATCCATCTTCCCATCAACTCTGACCAGCTTCCCTGTCCCTGCTGAAGAAAAGCATCCCCACAACATGATGCTTCCACCACCATGTTTCACGGTGGGGATGGTGTGTTCAGGGTGATGTGCACTGTTAGTTTTCCACTACACATAGCGTTTTGCTTTTAGGCCAAAAAGTTCAATTTTGGTCTCATCTGACCAGAGCACCTTCTTCCACGTGTTTGCTGTGTCCCCCACATGGCTTCTTGCAAACAGCTAATGGGATTTCTTATGGCTTTCTTTCAGCAATGGCTTTCTACTTGCCACTCTTCCATAAAGGCCAGATCTGTGGAGTGCACGACTAATAGTTGTCCTGTGGACAGAGTCTCCCACGTGAGCTGTGGATCTCTGCAGCTCCTCCAGAGTTGTAGGTGAATGGCCATGTCTTCCTAGGTTTGCAGTTGTGTCATACTCTTTCCATGTTGGATGATGGATTGACCAGTGCTCTATGAGATGTTCAAAGCTTGGAATATTTTTTTTTTATAACCTAACCCTGCTGTAAACCTCTCCACAACTTTATCCCTGACCTGTCTGGTGTGTTCCCTGGCCTTCAGGATGCTGTTTGTACACTAATGTTCTCTAACAAACCTCTGATGCCTTCACAGAAAAGCTGTATTTATGCTAAGATTAAATTACACACAGGTGGACTCGATTTACTAATTAGGTAAAGGTGCTGAAGGCAATTGGTTCCTCTAGATTTTAGTTAGTGGTATCAGAATAAAGGGGGCTGAATATAAATGCACGCCACACTTTTCAGATATTTGTTAAGCATTTTGAAAACCATTTATCATTTTCCTTCCACTGCACAATTATGTGCCACTTTGTGTTGGTCTATCACATAAAATCTCAATAAAATACATTTACGTTTTTGGTTGTAACATGACAAAATGTAGTAAATTTCAAGGGGTATGAATACTTTTTCAAGGCACTGTATTAGTTAACCATCTTGCTATATAAATATTGTTTACAGTTCTTTGAAAACATATTACTACATAATTTACTAGTATTAAATAATAAATCTCTTCATTTAGGTGGTAATACTCAGAGTTCCCTTCCTTTCCTAAGCTACTATGCACCTGTATCTCTTTAGAGAAATAGTACTGTCAATTATACATATACTGTGCAAGCAGCCCACATCTTGCCACCGGTTTTGGAACCAAAATCGGTGGCAAGATGTGGACTGTTTGCACAGTACAGTACATGGATTGCACTGGAATAGCACTGTAATTGTGATAGGTTCATAACATGAGCACGATGTTTACAAGCCTTATAAATACCCCTACAGCTTTTTAAACCAACTTGTTGTTGTACTTCGCTCTCTAGATGAGTATGAAGATGTCACCAACCAAGCAAAAGGCAGACCCCTAAGTGGAGGAATAGGTGAGACACTTTTATTGCATTAGGAGAAACTTTGCAGAGATATATGTGGGAAATATATAAAATTCACTTTAGTTCTCTTATGTAATCACCTATTTGGAAGTGCGATTCATAGCATTTTACTTTAAAAATAAGTTGATTTCCCATGTAGACCCACTGTCCACAGTGCTGAGTTAGTGTGCTTTACACAGACCCAACACTTAAAGTATATGCAGTAAAGCATGCTTGTTATACTCACTAAGGAACCTAAGGGGTTAATTCTCTGCATTGTGTAACAATGCTGTTTGATCCTGACTTCTCTGATCCTCCCTTCTTTCCGGTGTCCTCCCTTATCTCCTGATAAGACATATCATGTGGAGACACTCTGCACATGCTCAGTTTGATGTGTATTGCTAGACAGGTTTTTTTTTTTTTCTTGGAAGAGTGCATGTGATCAGCACAGAGCCAATTAGCACTTTCCAGACAGAGGTCAGGGGTTATGCATCCTCCTAGAGCAGAAAGAAAACTCCAACAAGCTTAACCAGTGCTCTGCTGAACACTGAAAACTCCTACAAGCTTAACCAGTGCTCTGCTGAACACTGAAAACTCCTACAAGCTTAACCAGTGCTCTGCTGAACACTGATAGAAGTCACAAGACTGCTTTATACTGTTGATGAGAAAAGGCATACTCTGGGAGACTGGAGAGCATGAATGCAGAGTCCTGAGTTTAGTAACACTTTAAAGGCTCATGTACACAGGGCGTTTGAAAAACTTTTCTAACCGCTGAAAACTGACTGCTAGAAAACGTAGGTCAAAAACATCAGTTTAGCCGCGTTTACCTACCGCATTTTGCGTTCAGTGGCGTTTTTAAAAGATAACCTCAGGAGACCCTCCCAGTAAATAATTAACTATTTCAGACCTTTTGTGAGAAATAGAGCAGAAGCAGAGAGAGCACTACTTTCTGATGGGTGTTGCAACTGTAGCAACAGTGGCTCGTGAAACATACTTGGCACTGTGGAAGGAGCTACATAGTGCTGTAATGCCTTTAATGCCTCCGGAGGCATTCTGGAGTGCACACAACACTCCTTGTGCTTTATTGCTGTGTTTTGATGTGTTCCAGTGCAGTTCTGTGCAGAAATAATGCAGCATGTTCTACCATTTTTTCCTGCACGCAAAACCTGGAACTCACTGCATTGGTGTATTAGGTTCATTTGAATACATGGAAAATGCTTTGCATGCATTTTTGATGAAGAAAAAAGGCTCTGGACAGCATATGGATATGGACCAGCCCAAAAACGCATCAAAACGCAAATGCGCATAAATACGTTTACAAGCATTTGGCGTTTGAAACACCGGTAAACTACTCCTGAACGCGATTTTCGTGCTTTAAAAAAAATGCCTGTAACCTCAACTGCCTGTAAACAACTGTTTACGTGGACATAGGAAATGAGCTCATCCCTCCAGACTGAAGAAATTCTACTATGCGAGTAGATGTGGGATGTTGTTCCCTCTTCATATATGGGCTCGACTAGACCCCCAAAGTCTGGAGCAGTGGATCCTGGAGTCTGAACGGCGGTGGACCTTCTGGTGTGCTTATGATGACCCCCAAGTGTGAGTGACACCATTCCTGGGAGTCTGCTGGAGCCCTAGATGACGCCATTCCGGTGACCAGACCCTGAAGTCTCCACGGATTATTTACATACAACGCCTAGTTTGTATGTACTTCTGGTAAGTGCATTATTGTACTATCACCCTATGGAGTAGCCAGGAGTATATCACATCACCTTGACCTCTGCAATTTTGGAACGCTTTTTCATTAACAGGACTTCTAATTTGTTATATGAAAGAACAATTTATTTTGAACATTCTGCTTGCACTTGATGGTCAATAGAATTAGCCTAACAGTATGCGTTAAAAACGGGTTTACTTAGCACACATTTGCCTGTAGTCTTGTAGCTCCGACTCGGAGATTCCAGAGTCATCCTCGGACAAGAAAATTTTAGCTAAATATTAGGGGCAACTATCAGTCTTATACAATTAAGTCTGCTTGAGGTGATTGTAGCCGTATTAGTGCATTTGCGGCAGAAACAATTGAGTACTGTCCGTGATACTTTTTTTATTTGCACTAACAAACAATTTTGAGGACAAGCTTTCGGGGAGTGGAGAAAAAAGAGAAGTGCGCCAGACTAAGTGCAGTAGGAATATAACAGTTTATTGCACACAAGATTATAAAAACTCACAAGAAGTGGGTAGATATCAGGCATCAATATATAAGGAAGAGGATGTCATCTGTGCTGCACGGCTGGCGCTCTAGGCGGGTCCCACAGGAGGAAGCAAGGGTGGCAGGCGTAGTAACCGGGAGTCGCTGCGCAGATAAGAACCGGGATCCAGGGCAGGCACTGCTGATCTCTCACATCAGCGTGGGTATAGGAGTGAGCTTGAGGCACATCCAAGATGGCCGCCGGACAGGAAATGACGTCAGGACGTTGCTGGGAATCCTCTAAGTCCGGCGGCCATCTTGGATGTGCCTCAAGCTGGCTCCTATACCCACGCTGATGTGAGAGATCAGCAGTGCCTGCCCTGGATCCCCGTTCTTATCTGCGCCGCGACTCCCGGTTACTGCGCCTGCCACCCTCGCTTCCTCCTGTGGGACCCGACTAGAGCGCCAGCTGTGCAACACCTTGGCATTGAAGCCAACCATTTGTTAGGTGCAGCACAGATGACATCCTCCTCCTTATATATTGATGCCTGATATCTACCCACTTCTTGTGAGTTTTTATAATCTTGTGTGCAATAAACTGTTATATTCCTACTGCACTTAGTCTGGCGCACTTCTCTTTTTTCTCTATTTACCACAGAGTCCGGTTTACTCTAGAAAGTGCAAGCCTCACGACGGTGTCTACATTGCAGCTTTGTATATATATGTATACATATATATATACCATCTATCTCAATCCAGTACTGTTTGCATTACAAGTCTTTTTTCCCCTCCTTTCCCTCCCCCTTCCCTTTCCTCACCACTAAAGCTGCATCATTTACTTGTTGTCCTTTTATTACTAGCATATATAATTATATATCTTAATTTCTGTTTACTGGATTATTTTGTTTAAGATTTACTGAGTGAACGTTATATCCACTAGAAATTCTCTTGCGCCAATTGCATTTTTATCTTTCGGGGCGTGTCCCCTTCTTCAGGTCAGAACTGCTTTGACCTGAAGAAGGGGACACTCCCCGAAAGCTTGTCCTCAAAATTGTTTGTTAGTGCAAATAAAAAAAGTATCACGGACAGTACTCAATTGTTTCTGCTACAATTAAGTCTGCAAAGACTAAATAATCAGAATCTAAGCCCAGGCCTGAATGGCTTTTTGCAGATCTGTACTCAAGCATTAACAAGAAACTGCATGGGGCAAGCAAACCTATAGTCGGATGTTAGGTCTATTTAAACAGACTTTAATGAGACCTGCTCATTGGAAACAACCAAGATACAGAATTTGGTGGACATCTTAAAGTAAATAATCATGTGCAGTGTTTATTTTATACCCTACAGGATTTAATTATCGCATTGGAAAACCTAAAGGGCCTCGAGAACCACCGCCTGAATGGATTCGATAGAAGACAAACATATTTTAACTTTTTTTTTTTTAATATACAATCTGGAAAACCAAAGTCAGCCATGCTGGCCTTTATATTCATCTCACCTTTGATATCACAGACTAATACCTTAGAAATACAAAACACTTTCTTTAAAATGTATCTGCTGTACTGTGTATAGTTTGTAGGCTGGATGAGTGAATATTCAGCTTATGGGATCACAACAAATTAATTCAATCACCAAGATATCCTTGTAAATATTGCTCAAGCCAGCAATGTGACTCAACGGGTAAAAACACACACCTGATGGAACCTTGGGAGCGTATATGTCAACTTCCCAGCATGTACTCATTTTGGATCCACAACCACTGGCAAGATATTCTTGTAAATTTTGTGCAAGCCAGCAACACACATTTATGTTGATAAGTCAACAGGTGGTCACAACTTCTAGAACCTTATGAGTTTACATGTTATCTTCCCTGCATGTCTCCGTCCTGAACTGACACTGAAGAACTGCAACCAGCATCTGCTTTCAAGAACTGTACTAACCACCAGTACTATTTAAATTACTGTGACTTGCCACATGCTTCTAACTGGTAAAACCCATCTAATCAGCAGTCATTCGTCCTGTGTAGGTCTAAATCAAGGAAAAATACACGTGATGGAGATGGTTGATGATGACATATTTTAGGAGGGTGTTAGAAACTGGACTTCATATTAGCTGCTATAGCAGCACAGGGAAAGTAGATGTAAATTTTAACTATTTCATAAAAAGGTTTTAATAGTTTAAAATGAAACTTTTAAGAAAAACTTTTGTTTCTTAATAACATGATATATTGTTTACACAAGCTATTTTCTCATTTACAGTCAATAAAAATGAAGGCCCAACTTTAGCCAAGACTTTTTTTTCCAACAGAATATCTTTTGTGTTTTTTTTGCTGTCTGGTACTGAGACAAGAAGTAAGGAGTAGTTTCTCCAACACAAATGGTGATAAAATAGGATTATAAAATCGTTTGCATACATTTAAAGAACTTTACTTTTGTAAGAAGAAAAAAATATCCTCCAGATTGGCTTGTGTACATTGTGAAGACTTATCAATGCCCACTCATTTCTGAGTAGTAGATATTGAAAGTTGATTCCAGTGCCCTTACCACTTACTTCAGGATAACATGGCTAGTTATTAAAACATATTTTAGGTTGTTCTGGCTCTGTGCCCTTGGGGGAGATCTCTCTTCATTTCATGCGATGATGTGTCACTAGGGCAGGAATTGAGCAAAAATCTTTCAAAGTCAGAAATAAAAGCCTATCAGAGGTTCTAAACTTTTTCCACAGAACTATTTTAAAGTGTATGTTAGCACTAAAATGAATATAGCACATTTGTGTTTAATAAGGTATAAACAAAATACAAAGGGGTATAGCACAGAAATTATAATTTATTATAGATAATACAGCAATTTCTGCCCTTCTAATCACTGACCTGCACTATGCAGTAGAAAGGTATATATGTGTCACAAACTGTAGCCTTTGTGTTTCAATATGTGCCTTTGGCTACAAATACCTGGTGATCCTGACAGTCTGTCTCATGTGTTTATCAACTGACCTAGCGAAGCACAGATGCAGACTTTTTCCCAGATAGATACAGATATGCCATGCTTTGGTATCGCATGCCTGTGTCTCTGTAGTCAGATTTACAGCTTCTGCAGGAAAGCTGTGAACCATTAGTCAATCACAGCCTACCTTATGTAGGTGAAGTCAGTAGGGGCATGAACAGCAGAAGACATACACAGACAGTGAAAGTAAGTCCCTGCTGTGTGATGTCACTCACAGCCTGGAGCATAGAATTGGTATGTTTCTGGACTGCAAAGTACATGGTGGGGAATGTACCTCCTTGCTGTGTTAGATGTCACTAAGGGCTTGTTCACACTAGGTGCTGTGAATGGCGTTTTCCTGCACCCCTAAGCTGTGGTGTAGAAAAAAATACAATAAAATATCATTTTGACATTTCAATAAAGTTGGAAGAAAAAACTAACAAAAAAAGTACATAGTACCCCTTTCCAGACCTTCCAATGACAGCTGCTTATACAGTAAAAACATAGTGTACAGCATGAGGCGTTGAGTTCATGTGACTGCTAGATTAAAAACAGCTTGGGAAACAGTTTATACATTTAGGACTAAGGGCTCGTTCACACTTGCCTTTATTTCTAACTCTTGCCAAACGCCCCTATAGCGTTTGACAGGCGTTTGGGAAGTGGTGTTAACGCTCCTCAAACGCTCCCCAAACGCCTATGCGAGGTTTTGAGGCAGTTGATAGGCGTTTGCCAAGCGTTAAAACCAAACCAAAAACGCCTATAATGAAGATAATGGTATTAATGCTCCGCAACCGCACCGTAAACGCCTGCCAGGCTTTTGCGGAGCGGCACCATAGACTTGAATAGGAGGCTTCAACTCCTCCTGACTCGACACAAAGCGTCAGTTTTGCTTCAACGCTTCAGTGTGAACAGCACAGTGTGCTGCCATGTGCAGAATTTTCATAGGCGTCTGAGAAGCGTTAAAACACACTTCCCAAACTCCTGCTGACAAAACTAGTGTGAACTGAGCCTAACATATCATTTGCTTCATACTGAGGTGCTGTGGATAGAGAGCATTTACAGATACTTTAATTACTACAAGATGTTTTGGTTATCTATAAATATTGGGTTATGAAATTTTTGTAAGAGTAAGAAAACATTGAAAGCTTTGTAAAAACTACACCTGACATAAGATGTCACACAAACTCAGAGAGGGATAGCATGGGGCTAAGATTTTTAGGGAAACCCACATAATTAAATCAATTACGAGGGGGGGGTTGCAAGCTTGAGCATCTATGGAGACCCAATGTGGTTTGTAATGAATGGAGTAAAGCTGGGATAATTGGAACACTTCGGCCGCTTTGTAGTACTTCCTAAAATCAGGGACCCCCAGTCCCTGGTAGTATAGAGTGTGTGCCAGGCTAATCTACCACCCTTGGGAACCCAGATACAAGTAGACATACTTGCCGGTATAGGAATGGGAAAAGTCTGGAAATAGTATAAACGTTTATGTAGTACTGTCATTTGAGCAATGACAATTCTACCCATCCAGGACAGTGATGCAGTATACCATGCTTCCACTTCCTCCAGTAGTTTATCAAATACCCATGGGATAGTTTTCTTTATAAAGTGACAAGAGGTGAGGAGTTAATTTGAGTCCCAAAGTAATGTGGTCTTCCATGAAAACAAATATTGAGCTCAAACTCACATTTTCTTTTTAAACATGATGATGCAAATTTACTTTGTGGCAGAATGCTGCAGCTTAGTGAGAGCAATGGGGATGATTTACAACAGAACATGTTTAAGTTGCAAAGAGCCCTTTCACACGAGTGATCCAATCAGGTCTTCCAGTCAGTTTTTTAGGTGAACCTGATTGGAAGGTCCATGCATTCCCATGGACCAGTGGGTGTTTGTTTACACTCACCTACTACTGGGTCCAATCAGGCCTGTTAAAAAATAAATAAAAAAAAAAATTGGAGGAGGAATGCGTCCAGTTTGGGTGGACCAGATCAAAGGCTGCAGGGTGTAAATGGACAGTAGAATCCGTTTACTCCCAGCCACCCATAGGAGCAGAGTGGGCTTTGTTCATGCCCGACCTGTCATTTGGCTGCTCTGTGCCAATCAGCAGACAAATCCCCTGCTGATCGGAATGGAAGGTACTTGTGTGAAAGGGCCATTAGTGAATGAGGTAAAGCTAATTTGAAATTTTAATTTGCAAATAATTCTCAAATAAATGCATTGCACAGACAGCCTGGTGGCTCACAGAGCTGGAAGTGCACTGGTGTGGTGCTTGATTCATGTCTTAGCTGTCAGGTCCTTAATGCTGGGCTGGAGTGTTCTGCGAGTACCTATGAATTTTTTTTTTTGTGACTTTTTAATAAAAGAAGTTTCATGCTATGAGCACTTTCTACTTTTTTGAATGAGACCCTCTTTTCATGAGTGTTAAGACGATCACAGGAACCAATGGATTCATGTTTCTTTGAGCAATGTTAGTCTGCACCGTTTAACCATTTTGTAATAAGTAGTCAATCAAATCTAGTTAGTGAGTTATACTACTGGTGTTTTGTGATGGCTGTGAAGCACAAGCACTTTACCACATTGAAAATGTTGCTACTAGGGAAATACCTGTAGAATTTTGACTTAATTCATTCATTTTGAATAGCATTCCATTGCATTTTTACAATAGCAAGCCATGTACCCACACTGCAGCATACCACAGTGTTTTGCTGCTATAGCAGCCAAGACTGGTTTGCTACCCTCAAGCCAACTGTCTGCTTTCTTTTGCCCAATCAATTTAACCCTCCTTGCACAACGATACCATTTCCACAATCTGTTTCAGTGTGGCCCACAAGGACACTAACTTTAGTGTAATTTTTAATTTGCAAATATGAATTGATAAACCTATGTCCTAGATCAGCCTCTCTCAACCAGGGTGCCTTGAGGTTTCTCTGCAGGCGTGCCTTGCCAAAATGTCTAAAAATTGCCCAAAACTTGTATACAAGCCAGCCACAGGTTTTCATTTTGCACCATTACGACTTTCTAGCCACCGGCATCCTGACAACCAATGACATCATCAGTTGATAAGGAGGATGTCAGCTGCCTGCACAGCATCCTTATTTGACCCTCCCCCACCCCTCTCCATAAGTGATGGGGTCACATTAACTCACTGATGGAGAAAAACTGAGGGAGAAGAGAAACATGGGAATTCTAGTCAGTACCACTGTGCAATAGTGTATTTGCTTTGGAAGAATAAATCACCTCTAATATTGGGTGTCCTACATGTGTGGATGTTGCTGCGTTATATAAAACAATTAGAATAGCTTTCCCATTTTAGAATGGGGTACCTCAGGACTGTCCATAATATAAAAAGGTGTCTCGGGACTGTCCATAATATTAAAGGTAGCTTTGACCAAAAAAGGTTGAGAAACACTGTCCTAGATCATGTGACATAAAAAATATAAAATGTTTTAGAGTGGGTGTATTACTAATCTTCAAGCCTAACATGTACACTTCAACATGTGTGCAAAAACTGAAAAAATGGATTGAAGAAAAGTGGTCAAGAAAATCATGACGTTAAGAAATAAAAAAACAAAAACTTTAATTTACAGAAAAACACAATACTATTCAATACTGAGGTATTTTCTCTTCTTGGCTGTATTTGTGTATGGGTGCCAGCGCCATTCCACCTCTGCTGTATTCTCATTTTCCAAGGTGCCCAGTTTGATCATATATACTGCACAAAAAAAAAATAAAATTTAGTAGGGATAATGACCTGAGCCAGTAACTTCACACAGACCTTTACTACTGGAAAAAACAACATACAGTATAATCGGCTGCAGCAAAAAACACTGGACTGTTCTTCCTTTGTGTGAATCTTGTTGATGGATTGGCAACCTATGTCATTTTGTAAAGATAGAAATACTACAGCTGTCATCAAGATTTGAAGGCTCTGGGGATGACATCTGGAGTTTTTTTTATACAACTACTCAATAACTGGTTAAAGTATAGACAGAAAGTGTGACTTAGCACACCACATGCTCCCCGTGAAAGAAAAAGAAAAAAAAAAAAAAAAGACCCAAAATGTGATATTTTCCTCATTATGTATATTCTGGCCAGAGCCCCTGCAGGAAAATGATCACATATCCTCCTAAACATGTTAGATTTTCTTGAGGGATACCTCACTGTCAAATAATAGGCTACCTAGTGTGAATCAAACAATACTCCATTCAACCCATGATGGGAACTAAACCTTTGGCGTAGAATTATTTTCTATAATTAAAATAACAGTTGGGTTTGTACGATGTAGAAATTAATGTACAGTATGTAGTATGACTTTTGTTTTTTTCACACTTACATTTCATCTCAAAGCGTGGGCCAATCTCAGAGAGTTCAATATTTCGATGATCGGTTTTCCTATAAACATGGTGCCTGAAACAGAGAACACTGCTCAGTACCTGTAGCATATACACAGATGACACTGACATATATTGTGCTTTCTACCAGGAATTTTTTTGTGCTCAATAACGCTGCTTTACAAACATACACTCGACCAAAACACAACAAAAAAAAGTATATTACAAAAAATGCTTCTCAGAATGTACAAAAACAGACACCTTAACAGACTGAGACTATATTCAATTTTCTCCAGATACCTTAATGTAATAAAGTCGTCTTTATTAGCAAATGTCATCACTCGCTTGCTGTCTTCTTTTGGGACAGGGAACAAATATTTCAGGATGTTGGACACCTAGAGAGTAAAAGAAGAATTTAGTCCCTTTGCACACTTAGATTGAATTTATGGATGTTTGGGTATTAGGGCATGTGTAGAAAGGACCATGATCACATCAGAACTGCTTCTCTCTCTATACAAGCCAATGGGTGCTGATCTCAAATGTGAGTGAATGTATCTAAAAGCATGCTGCATTTGCCCATTGACACAATTTCTTAACAATTAGTAAACAAGCTTTATTTTGATCCTTTCAGCACAGGGTATAAAGCCTTACCTTTCCAGCAGCCCATTTGATGAAACACTGCATCTTTGGTGTTTGCCAGCAACCTCCACATGCATGGAATACCTGCTCCCTTGTGTTGTGGTTTCTCCCACCAGTTCATGTCACTAAACAACATACAAGTCTGCGGGGGGAACTATTGCATGAGGTACTGGAAATTGTTATTTGACTTATCTGGCAGGTCAAATACCTGCAGTGGCTGGCGAACAGCGAAAAGGTGTTTCAATAAACAGGCCTCCAGACAGATAAGTATAGATCCTCTTTTATAACAGGTATGTAATTCTTTACATGCACTGACATGGTCACTTTTAAAACATCCCTAGCCCCCAACCTACTTAGCTCCAGGCTCTGTGGAGCAATTAGCCTTCGAAGTACACAGAATACGCACTGAAGTTGTATCAGTCATTCTCTTGGCAGCTCAGCTCATCCTGCTTCCTCTACCAGCAGTGATTTGTGGTCTTGTAATCTCTTATGCAAGCACACAGCAAGAGCTGTAAGAGGGGGGAGCAAAGTCGTGGATGCTTCTTAGACAGCAAACTGCATTACTTCAGTGCCTCTGCTGTGAATTTTAAGAATAAACTGCTCCCCAGTGCCTGCAGCTGCCAGATGTCAGTAAAGACTGGTTTTAAAGCTCTTTTACTACTTGATAATGATATATAAATACTTGACTCTCCATAGCCTGGCCACTGGTTCATATAAAAGTTGATCTGTGTAACTATTCAAAAAGACAAGCCTTACACGCTGCCCAAGGCGGGAAGTGAAATTGTGGAAGATGAGATGCGGATAAGCTTCTGACATTGTGCCCAGGTCTGGAATATCATGCCTCATGACCACATTGCACAAGGTGAAATATGCTGTGGGTCCAAATGGAAGGTGGCACACAATTAACCCATCTAGAAAACAATAAAGATATTTCTTATTAGTAATTTCAACTTAATGTTATATAAATAAATAAAAATGGCATTACTGCCCAGATTACGCTGTTGCAATGCACTGAAAATAAAGTAAAAAGGAAATAAAAAATGAAAAGCAAATTAGGACCCTTCGTTATTGTTAACGGCACCATTAATCTCTAAGCAGCAGATGCTCTAAGGCAAAGCTAGACAATTGCTGGTTGTGATTTCAATTGAAAAAAAAACCCTCTCTAATGAATGGGTAATTGAGAACAGGGCCAAGAGGAGGGACAGTTGCGCCAGGCACAGCGTTTTCAGGTGGGGAGTGCTTTGTGGTGATCTGCGCCCTTGCCCTATCCCTTCCAAGCTTACTAGCAGCCACATTCCAGTGCACTGCAATGATTTTTTTGTCCACAGCTAGCACTTGCCCCCCATCAGGTCCAATGCGTCAATTGGGAAATTAGTTGTCTCTCAGTCCCAAGCCCCTCCAACTCCCTGTACACAGAGATACAAAGCAGCATGTCCATGCTGACAGGAGAGAGACCTGTGTTGTTTAAACACAGGTCTCTCCCCTGTCAGGTTTGCCTACGATCACCGAGTGCCGGCCAGGACTTGGTGATTGACATCCCCAGCCGCCAATAGCGGAAATGCATCCCCAGCAAACCCCCTACCTGGAAATGCAATTCATATATATATATATATATATATATATATATATATATATATACACATACACACGCCCGCGCGATTTTGCACAGCCATGCCGCCCTGTAGCAGTACTGCTGCTAAAGCGGGGATGGCAAGTGATTAATAAGTGCCCAAAATGCTGGCCGCGCCTGAATACCTCTAAACACTTTTAAAAAAACGCACCTTTAGGGGAGTTTTAACACTGAATTTCTCCTGTCAGAAGAAAAGCATTCAGAAGAGCCTAGTGTACATGAGGCCTAAAAAGGACAAATAGGTAACACAACTAACCTGGCATTCCCCTGTGTTCATGTACAATGAGGAGGTCAGTAACTTCATTGGCTTTGCATGCTTGCACTAGTGCCCCCACCTCATGTTTTCCTCTGTTCATGCGCTGAGCATTGGGGAAAACAAGCTTCATTTCCTAAAAGAGAAATTTAAAAAAATGTTACTTCGGCGCTTCTTTTGAAAATTTATGAAGGCCAAGTATACGGTTTTCATTGCAGCAAACATCCCAAACAAGGAAACACTTGACCACCGCTTATTATTGGATGTGCTCTGATGTACCTTGCACTACTGAATAGAAGAGCCATATAAATGATGGCAGCTATAAACTGTCTAAGAACATGTGACTGAACCTCTTTTAGTGATGCAGCTGTATTAGGACTGCCATTGTAAGCCCCTAGTAACAAGTTAAAGTTTCTTTTCATTCTTCAAATGGTTTCAGTGAATAATCACAGTAAACTGTTCTGCACACTAAGAGGTCAACTGTCAATTTATGTTTTAAACATTGCTGCTTTTAACTATATTAAAAATATAAAAGAGCAACAGAAAAAAAAAATGATTATACTCTCAATCTCAGATATTTAAAAGCTTAACTTCAGGAAGACATAAAAGGACAAAAATTAAACCAGCTCTGTAATCATTAAATGTATTTTCTAAATGCAAGCAATACATGTACTTGATTCTGACTTGGTATCAGGAAGGAAGAGGAAGAAGCAGTAAAAGTAGCCAAATAGTGCACGTGCTAAAAAGAAGCATGTTGATTGGATAAGAGAGCAGAATGACAAAAGGGATTAACAGGTTGGGGTGGGTCCAGGACGACCTGGGCTTAGAAGAAGTGGCTTTAATGATGATGGCCATCAGAGTGATCATATGTAACAACAGAAAAAAGTACTTTGGGGGGAAATCTCTGGATTGAACAGTTATTTACTTCCAAATTTTCTGTAACAGTATTTTCAGGAATCTTCCAGGTCAGCTACCTGAGAGATGATTAGCTCCACCTTAAAAAAAAAAAACGCAATCCAAAAACTTGTTAAAGCCCCCTCCCAACCAACCCTCGTCCTCAGTGTCATAAAAGTAAGAACCATCATCAAAGTGTACAAGGTGAAACCTTATAAACCAGACAACCAAAACCCCTGCGTGGAAATATAGATGCTGTCCTAGCAGATTCCTGGAAATACCGTTATCGATAAATCTAACTGTGGTTTTCCCAAATCATCTTCCAGGACAGCGGGTAGGATAATCAAGAAATCATCAAACCTTTGGGGTGAACCAAACCATAATCAATTAAAGTGGTTCTACAGGTTCAAGGTTTCTTTTACCTTCATGCATTCTATGCATGAAGGTAAAAAACTTGTGTGCCAAGGAAGTTGTTACCACACTGGTGGAATGTGCTTACATCTTTGAGAATTGTCTACTGGTGCTCTCCCAAGCACAAATGATAGTTTTTCTAAACCATCTTATTTTGAAACTCTTAGGGCCTTAAGTCCTTCATTCAGACTGCTAAACAGGACCAAAAAGTGGCCGGATCTTCTAAAGTTTTTAGAAAATTTCTACAGATCTCAAACAACTTCCATAGTATTAAACTGTAATTCCTTATTCTTTGAAGAATTACAGAAGGTTGAAAGAATCACTTCCTATGATCTATGAAATGTCAACAATATCTTTGAAAGATATAAAGGATCCGGCCTCAAAAATCACTCTGTCTTTTAAAATACTCAATTATACAAGGCCGATGAGTGTGCCCTCTTAATCCATTGACACTTTCTCCAGCTTTCAAACAGAAAGCTCATGCAGAGGTACAGGCAAGAAAGCTGGAGGATGTGTCTGCAGGAGCCTGACATTGCACCTGAGATCCACTGATCATGGGTGCCATGCTCTGCAGGCACCTGTGAAACAAAATTATAAATGCACATTTTTTTTTCCCTGCAAAAATATGTGCATTTATTTTTTTTTTCAGAAAGTTGAACTTAGACTTTAAGTACTCTTGGTGTACAGCACTCTCTGGCCAGTAGGAATCTCTTGATAAAAAGTTCAACTAATTGAGCATCTAGGAACATGGACAAAGTCAAAATCTGAATCCTGTAGGTTTTAGATGATAAACCGTTCTCTACCCCAGCTTGAACTGACTCTTAAATTGTAGCTACAGAACAGCTATTCCTAATGGATATCCAATTCCATAAAAGAGAAAAAAACAAAAAACAAACAAAAAAAAAAAACACACTTTCCCATCTGGGAAGGAGGGGCCATTAATGATTTTTTTAGATTGTGTTTCTTGTTAGTTGGAGCCAATCATCTCTCAGGTAGTGGTCCAGGAAAATTACTAAAGAAAGCTGGTTTTGTTATTTTACATTTTAATGGGCTGGTCATTTTTATCTTGTTATTTTTGGCTAGAGTTCTGCTTTATTGGATGAAACCAAAAAAAGAGAACTTGTACCTTAGCAAACATTTTTAATCTAGAACTTGGGTCTCTTGATGTTGTAATCATGATCTTTGGATCTTCAACTCCGGCCCACCTGTACTCATCATCCACATGGGAGGAGACCCCTAGGAGAAAGCACAGCATGGTGAGCTCTATAAAAACTTCCATACATCTCTATAATGTACTATGTATTACAAATTCTTATCACATATGTTACCTCATTCATTGGTAGGTATACTATTCCCAGCATGCTCTGCAAAGCTCAGTGCACAGACCTCTAATGCCCAACCTTTGGTGCTGGTTGTACAGCTTGACATCAGAAGCTATTTGTAAATGGGTTATAATGGTATACCACGAAAGAAATGTAAATCAGGGATTTTATATGTGCTTAAAGTGACATCACCACTGGTAAATTATATTTAAATGTTAAAATCAATACAACATTTCTTGAAGTACATATAATAAAATATTCCAAATAAAATAAATGTTTTTATTCAATATGGTCTCATTGCCCTCATTTCAATCTATATTGAAATGAGGAAAATGATACCATATTGAATCAAAAATTGCTTTTATTATGAATATTTCATTACATGTACTTCAATAAATGTTGTAATGATTTTAAGCACCTGTAACATCCCTGATTTACATTCCTTTTGTGGTATACCTATTCAATTCGGGACATGGTGCAGATATACATTTCCATCAACTGCCCATACCTATAACGAAGGGTTGTAATGGTAGTAACCTCTTGCAGTCTCATGTAATATGCCTCCAGTCTCCCACTGTCTTACAGCACATCTCCTGTGTTTACCCAAACCAGTAGTATGTCTTTGATCATTTCCTGCAGTCTTTTGTTGGATTACATAATATATATATATATATATATAATAAATAAATAAATATGTGGTCCTTTGGTTACATCAGTGGCTGCAGTTCAGGCCCCATTCATCATCAGTAGCCCCTGTTGAGACTCTGTATACCTCGTAAGGTAACCATCACTGGTTTAAACAGATGCACACCTGTTTCTCTAAGAAACACAATACTACAAAATCTTTCCAATTCTATACACAACCATTGCAGAGAGATAGCTCATTTATCATCAAGCTTGAATAATTTTAGGTGATGAGGCGCCCATTCTTCAGTCTTTACCTTCGCCACCTTCATCATCAAATTCGAGCTGCTTCTGTAGAGTGAGAGCCTCTCTGCGGATCTCTGTAGGGATCAGCCGGTTTTCTGTGGACAGAGATACAATTTTAGTATTTATACAAAGCATACTGTGTAAGTCTGGTGTCAGCTCCCCTTCCTTTCCACAAACCTTCTAAAGCTTTCTTCAGTCGTTGCTTTTTGTCCTCTATGCTGTGCTGTTTGGCTTCTTGAGCTTTTCGGTAGAGGTACTCCCTCCGTAACCGAGCCTCCCGGCGCAGCTATAGAGAAGCAGAGGATTAGAAAAATCAGCTTTAGCTTTAATGTATTCAACTTCAGCCTCAGAAACAAGTCAGATGTAGCGTGCTTTCAGAGAAACTGATCAATTAGAACAGCGCTCCTCACCAGATTAATCTCTATTGATACAAACCGAATAAGGTCAGCATCAATTAAGGAAAAAAACCCTAATAAAATTGCATCAATATAAAAATGGTGAAAAATAAATGAATACATGTGCAAAATCTGAAAAATAATCAAACTCATAAATCATGTATGTGTGAAAGTGAACAAGTGCCTATATGAAATCAATATTAATAAATCAAAAATAATAAATCAGTGTCCAAAGAAAAAAAAAAATATATATATATATTTCTCAAAAATTCTTCTTATTAAACCTTCTGTGTTGTGCAACACCACGCGTGAAATCCACCAAACAAACTGAATAAATTCACCAGAGCTCCATGCTGGTAAAATTATAAACCAGCTTAACCCACTATAGCTCTGGAAGCACCGATCTGCAACGGCACTCGCCGACTATTGCAACTCCTTACTCGGATCTTCATATACTCAAATGGGACCAGACAGGAAAGGAAGAGGAAACTACATAGCGTAAGTATATTATTGTATTAAAAGCTTAAGATCACACTCACAATAGAAAGTGTCACAGCTGACAATAGCATACAGTGAAGGAAATAAGTATTTGATCCCCTGCTGATTTTGAATGTTTGCCCACTCACAAAGAAATGATCAGTCTACAAATCGAATGGTAGGTGTATTGTAACACTCAGACAGAATAGCAACAAAAAATTCAAAAGAAATGCATGTCTATCAAATGATGCACTGATTTGCATGTTCATGAGGGAAATAAGTATTTGATCCCCTTCACAAAACATACTTGGTGGCAAATCCCTTGTTGGCAATCACAGAGGTCAGACGTTCCTGTAGTTGGCCACCAGGTTTGCACACATCTTAGGAGGGATTTTGACCCACTCCTCTTGGCAGATCCTCTCCAAGTCATTAAGATTTGGTGGCTGACGTTTGGCAACTTGAACTTTCAGCTCCCTCCACAGATTTTCAATCAGATTAAGGTCTGGAGACTGGCTAGGCCACTCCAGGAGCTTAGTGTGCTTCTTCTTGAGCCACTTCTTTGTTGCCTTGGCCGTGTGTTTTGGGTCATTGTCATGCTGGAACACCCATCCATGATCCATTTTCAATGCCTTGGATGAGGGAAGAAGGTTCTCATCCAAGATTTAACGGTACATTGCACCATCCATCGTCCCTTTGATGCGGTGCAGTTGTCCTGTCCCTTTAGCAGAAAAACACTTCCAAAGCAGAATGTTTCCACTACCATGTTTGACAGTTGGGATGGTGCTCTTGGGGTCATAGGCAGCATTTCTCCTCCAAACACAGCGAGTTGAGTTGATGCCAAAGAGCTCGATTTTGGTCTCTTCTGACCACAACACTTTCAACCAGTCCTCCTCTGCATCAGTCAGATCTTCAGTGGCAAACTTCAGACAGGCTTGGACATGTGCTTTCTTGAGCAGAGGGACCTTGCGGGCCTGCAGGATTTCAATCCTTGTCGGCGTAGTGTGTTACCAATTGTCTTCTTGGTGACTGTGGTCCCAGCTGCCTGGAGATCATTGACATGATCCTCACATGTAGTTCTGGGATGATTCCTCACTGTTCTCATGATCATTGACACTCTACAAGGTGAGATCTTGCATGGTACACCAGACCTAGGGAGACTGACAGTTGTTTTGTGTTTCTTCCATTTGCGAATGATTGCACCAACTGTTGTCACCTTCTCACCAAGCTGCTTGGCAATAGTTTGGTAGCCCAGTCCAGCCTTGTGTAGGTCTACAATCTTGTCCCTGACATCCTTGGACAGCTCTTTGGTCTTTGCCATAGTGGAGAGTTTGGAATCTGATTGTTTGGTTGCTCCTGTGGACAGGTGTCTTTTATACAGGTAAAAAATGAGATTAGCAGCACTCCCTTTAAGAGACTGCTTCTAATCTCAGCTTGTTACCTGTATGAAAGACACCTGGTAGCCAGAAATCCTGCTGAATGATAGGGGATCAAATACTTCTTTCCCTCATGAACATGCAAATCAGTGCATCACTTGTTAGACATGTATTTCTTTTGAATTTTTTGTTGCTATCCTGTCTCTCAGTGTTACAATACACCTACCATTCGATTTTTAGACTGATCATTTCTTTGTGAGTGGGCAAACATTCAAAATCAGCAGGGGATCAAATACTTATTTCCTTCACTGTATACTGCATAAACAAAACAGCAGGTCAGCTCCAGTCCTATCACAGGCAGCTCACCTATACGTAGTGACATCAACTCCAAAGCCCCGCCCTATGCGTTTTGTCACCCGACATCCTCCTGGAGGTACTTGCACCCAAGGCAAACTTATCCTTTAAAACAGTTGTTGAAGAGGTGCCATAACGCTTCCTCGCAGCCTATCAAATGTCCTCTGAAAAGCAATCTTCCACAGGTCGCTCTTCAGAGGGCAACACAAGTGTAAACAAGCTGTTGTAACTGCTTAAAATTGATTTGCTAAAATTTGGTTTCAATTTGTGAGTCAATTCCATGTAAATCTGCTAGTATATCCAAACAATTCTCTCCCCAGACTGACAATACAGATGTCCAGAGGAGTCTCCACCATCCAAGACAGGAAGTGTGTTCATGGCCAGATCACCAGGTGAAAAGAACACTAATGCAGCTGCCACATCTAATGATCGGTAAGTGGCAAAATATGACATTTCTGGTTTGGTTTCAATCGTGTAGAGATCAGTCTGTTGTGGAGTATATGAAATATGAAGTATTGGAACAGTCTGTCCTCAGTACACACTGGAATATAGAAGGAACGGATACTGACCATCATACATGGAGATCGGCCAGGGAGGGAGATCGGCCAGGACACACGGAGGTGAGTACACGGCACACATAATGAACGTGCACGGGGGGAGGGAGATCGGCCAGGACACACGGAGGTGAGTACACGGCACATAATGAACGTACACGGAGGGAGATCGGCCAGGACACACGGAGGTGAGTACACGGCACATAATGAACGTACACGGAGGGAGATCGGCCAGGACACACGGAGGCGCGTACACGGCACATAATGAACGTACACAGAGGAAATCTCTCTACTCACCATGATAGCAGTCTTCACTACACGTGGAAGTAGTCAGCACACTCTAACAGCAGCCACCCAATCAGGAGCTACCGTTCTGTTGCCCTTACTAAACATGGCGGACCGCGGCAGGAAGTGACCCGACAGAGGATTTCAGTTCCGGGCCGTGAAAGTCACATGAGAGATTCAGATCAGAAGAGAGGGCAGGAGGGTGAGTGATGACTGTGTGGTGTGTTCATGGTCAGAGAGGCTTTGTGAGCTGTCCTTCGTCTGTGAGGTGCATGGAAATCTCTGCTGCTGCTAATGGGGTTCAGCAATCCTGTCATCTTATATTTCAGGGCTGTTCATTTAGCACTGCAGCCAAATGTGTCTTTAGTTGTAGATAAAGTGGGGGAAAGTTCAACTTTCCAGTCAGGTTGTTTGTGACCCCTTTATAAGAGACTTCCTGTCCCTGTGACACCCTTATGTGAAATGGGGGTGTATTTGTTACTCGGACAGGAAGGTATAGACCGGGTGTCGGGCAACCCGCGGCTCTTTTTCATCTTTGCTGCGGCTCTGGAGCACACTGCCCACCAGGTGACAGGCAATAGGGTTTCAGTGGTCGGCAAGCCGCGGATCGCAAGCCACATGCGGCTCTTCTGTGTGCCGGGCGCCCGCTCCCCTCCCTCCTCTCGGGCGGCCGCCTCAAAAGTCAGGATTCTTTTAATCCGGCCCGCGGAGCGTGGAACATTAGCTGTCAGGATGTAGGCGGGGCAGCCAGGATGTAGGCGGGGCAGCGTGACGAACTCCTCTCACAGTCCGCCCTGAAGACCGGAACACAGCGCGGGAACACAGCGAGAGGAACGCGCGGAGGAAAGGTAAGTGAATTGAGACAATATGGGTAATTAATTACTATAGGGGGGATGAATTACTATAGGGGGGATGAATTACTATAGGGGGATGAATTACTATAGGGGGGATGAATTACTATATGGGGGATGAATTACTATGGGGGATGAATTACTATATGGGGGATGAAGCTAACTGCACGATCCTGTATATAGCATTAAGGTAAGAAACAATATATGCAGTGTCGGATTTGTTTTAAATGTTGCAATGGTTTTTGCGGCTCCCAGTCTTTTTTTTCCTTCGGAAATGGGTCCAAGTGGCTCTTTATGTCTTAAAAGTTGCAGACCCCTGGTATAGACAGAAATAAAACACTGGGAAGTTCTTCACCCTTCCTCACTCTTTGTGTGTCCCCATTGGAGAGCGTCCTTCCTGTCCTGACAACATGGAACCTGAGAAAAGTCAGAACGCCTTATCTATATACATTATATTGCCAGAAGTATTGGGCCAGCCCTCCAATCATTGGATTCAGGTGTTCCAATCACCTCCATGGCCACAGGTGTATAAAATCAAGCACCTAGGCATGCAGACTGCTTCTACAAACATTTGTGAAAGAATGGGTCACTCTCAGGAGCTCAGTGAATTCAAGTGTGGTACCGTGATAGTTGTCCATCCGTGCAATAAGTCCATCTGTGAAATTTACTATCTACTAAATATTCCACGGTCATCTGTTAGTGGTATTATAACAAAGGGGAAGCAACTGGGAACAACAACTCAGCCATGAAGTGGTAGGCACATAAAATGATAGAGCGGGGTTAGCACATGCTGGAGCGCACAGTGCACAGAAGTCACCAACTGTCTGCAGAGTCAATAGCTAAAGACCTCCAAACTTCATATGGCCTTCAGATTAGCACAACAACAGTGCATAGAGAGCTTCATGGAATGGATTTCCATGGCAGAGGAGCTGCATCCAAGCCTTACTTCTCCAAGTGCAATGCAAAGTGTCAGATGCAGTGGTGTAAAGCACGCCGCCACTGGACTCTAGAGCAGTAGAGACGTGTTCTCTGGAGTGACGAATCACGCTTCTCTGTCTGGCAATCTGATGGACTTGTCTGGGTTTGGTGGTTGCCAGGAGAACGGTACTTGCCTGACTGCATTGTGCCAAGTGTAAAGTTTGGTGGAGGGGGACTAATGGTGTGGGATTGTTTTTCAGGGGTTGGGCTTGGCCCCTTAGTTCCAGTGGAGTGAACTCTTAAGCCGTCAGCATACCAAGACATTTTGGACAATTTGATGCTCCCAACTTTGTGGGAACAGTTTGGGGATGACCTCTTCCTGTTCCAACATGACTGCGCACCAGTGCACAAAGCAAGCTTCATAAAGACATGGATGAGTGAGTTTGGGGTGGAGGAACTTGACTGGCCTGCAGAGAGTCCTGACCTCAACCCGATACATGAATTGGGATGAATTAGAGAGGAGACTGCGAGGCCAGACCTTTTCGTCCAACATCATTGTGCCTGACCTCACAAATGCACTTCTGGAAGAATGGTCAAACATTCCCATAGACACACTCCTAAACCTTGTGGATGGCCTTCCCAGAAGAGTTGAAGCTGTTATAGCTGCAAAGAGTGGGTCAATCCAATATTGAACCCTACAAACTAAAACTAGGATGTCATTATAGTTCATGTGAGTGGCAGGCATCCCAATACTTTTGGCAATGATTGTGTATTTGTTTCGGGTAATTGATTCAGAGTTTTGATCTGGAGGGTCAGCAGCCAGGCATATTGCAGTTCCAGGAGGTGTTTAGCAATGGTAGTCTGTGTGTTTTTGTTGACAAGTGTCCTTTATATACAAAGCAACTTGGCTGAACAAATACAATCTTAGTGTGTATAGCTGGCCTTGGAAATCAGATACTTGTATAAGTACAGGAATTGCAATGTTATGTTTTACCATGTTTATTTGGTTTCTTACACACAGAGTACAAGCTGGATTGGACTGGTTCTGCACCCTGTATTCTGCTTGTTACAGAAACCTAAGTGTTGCCTCGCCTTGTTACATCCAGAATCCACAGCCCAGAACAAGATGGCCCCAGCTACAAAAGAGACTCTTTCTGAGGTGAATGAGAGGCTGGATCAGCTTCTGCTCCAACTGATGGATGACTTGGAGGCCCTGAAGGAGAAAAGAGAAAACCTCAACAGCCTCATAGAGAAGGTATGTGTTTTGTATTATCGCAGCTCTGGAATTGGTTTTAATCTGTTCAAATTGTCGTCCACTAAAGTGAGACCACTCAGGATCCATGACAGGACCAAAACCATATCCGCTGCTTAGGAGCCAGTCACATCTAAGGGGCATGGAGTCCCTCACTCTAACTAGATCTAACTATCCCCTGTCAAATCAATATGATAAATACAATATGATAAATACAATTTAAAGAGTTCTCTAGTTTTTTTTTCCATTCACAGTAGAACTTTTTGGCACTTTTATTAACTGCCAAGGGAGACTGGGTTCTGTATGTGATGTTTCTAGTGTGAATGGGCCCTAAGGTTCCATTCACGCTTGTGTAACTACATATTTGTGCAATTTCCATTGCGACTTTGATGCAGCTTTGGATGGATGGGACTTGGGTGTGACTTTTTGCTGTTTGCTTTGGCTTTACTGTCGCATTGATAACATTAAGATGCGACTTTTGACAGTTTTTACATTGCTATTTATGGCACTCACGTCCTATCAGAGTAGTACAGGAACCTTTTTAAGGTCGCTGCAACTTTAAGTCACATAGATGGGCTGCAACTTGTCATGCAAATTTGTCTGAGTTGGGATTTCTTTTATTTTGAAGGGATATCCTTCCACTTTTTGGGTCTTAAAGGATAAGTTCACCTTTCCACAAAAAATAATAAATGCACATTTTTTTGCAGGTTTAAAAAAAAAAAAGTGCATTTATTATTATTTTTTTTTTGTGTTAGGAGCCTGTAAAGCATTGCACCAGTGATCAGTAGATCGCTTGTGCCATGCAGGTCTCCTGCAGACTGTCTGTATATCTGATTTCTTATATCCCGTACAGCCAAGCCAATACTTGCTGACCGGTAGACTCAATGAAATATCAGAACGCCCCCAGCAGCATGGTTGTTCATTGAGGACTACAAGTCGACAGCCGATAAAGCTGTTTGGACTTGTAGTCCATTCAATCACAGAACACTCTGAATGAATGACATGGCTGTGTGGGTGTAGCCCCACATGGCTGGGCTGTGTTTGAAAACTGACAGCTAGTACAGGGAACTTCTTCCAGTACTTCAGAGGGAAAAGGGGGGTGGGGGGGGGGGGGGCAGCGGCTGCTGCAGGATTGGGAACATGTTACATTAAAAACGGGTGAAACATGTAACATGTTCCCAATGGTGAACTTATCCTTTAAGACAGGAAATAAAGGGAAATCACTATGATTTCACATGACGGCCCAAACCTTAATTCTCCTTATGAAAGATAATGAGCCTTTGTGTGTAAAATCACAGAACTACTTCCTGTGTGTAATTGGAACTATGCAACAAAATATTTGCCTTTTTATAAATAGAGAACTCTTTTTTTTTTTTTTAATCTTTTTTTTCCAGGGGTGGTTCTACCTCTCTCAGTCACGGTATTCAATGGGGAATAAATTTGTATCTTCTCTGCAATATAAACATGACATGGTTCCATCTGTCTGTGTTAAGGGCAGGTAAGCTGTGAGTGACATGCTTATTTAAATACAATGTATATCTCTCTGCAAACTTATCAGGTTAATTTGTTATCCTGATGCGGGCTATCAGCAAACATTATGTACACTAAAGGATGGCCTTATGGCTTAGGTTCCTAGTTTTCCTTTAATGACAGATTGCATCTTTCATGCAAGTCAAGAGAAAAATATCATAGCTCATTGCAGCCAATCATAACTGTCATTCTCACTGGTTTAAATAAAGAAGTGAAAGTTTGCTTGGTACATATATATTCCCTATGTGTGCAGCAGTTGCGATCAAGGCTATCTGCCAAAAACACATTTGCTCATAAAGAGTAAATAAGTTTATATGGATCCAGGATTTGCTTGTGCTACTCTTTGCTTTATGTTGTATGTTACACCGGCATTTAGGGTGTAATACGTTCAGCATCCACCACCTCACCAACCAGTCCCCCCCCCTTCTTTGTAACAGCAGGCGGGGGACCGTCTCCCCCGCACCCACTGTCGCAGTTTGAAAACAACGTGGCTGAGCGGGACTTCGCCCACAGGGTGCCTTCCTTCTGTGAATGAATGAACTACAACTACTGTCAGCCATGCTGCAGGGTGCTGATAAGCACTGAAAGTTTAATGATATTTCTGGACTGCCTAACTGCCTGCCTGTATCGGAGGTATGGGCATACAGCTATACTGACAGTATGCAGGAGCCGACATTAAACCCTAATCTGATCGCCAGTGCACTGTTTTACAGGCTCCTAAGAGAAAAAAAACAACACAATTTTCTACCTGCAAAAAAGTGCATTCATTATATTTTTTTTTTTTTTTTTTTTTTTTTTTTTTAAGGTGAACTTGGCCTGTAATACATGTGTGTTGGCTGGTGCCTTTGGGGTGTCAATAAAAATGAATGACACTGCAGCGCGCATGCCAATACATAGTGCACGTTCAAGCGCTGATAGGAACCATGCTTCATCATACACATTTTTGTGAGCATAACTGTGGCAGGAGCCTTAATATACCTTATCAACTGTATCCTTCAAATAATATTCTTTATTATAACTATACCATAGTACACATTAAAGCAGAACTTTACTCCCCCCTACCTTTCCTTTTTACCATCCTGCTCAACCTGTTATGCTGGGTTCAAATTCACTGTTCAGCTGTTTTTGCCTGTCTCCTGCTGTTCTTGTCAGCTGGCTGCCTCTTCCGAGTGCAGTTCAACCCTTGGGTTTCTGTGAATGGGTTCCCGAAGACTTCTAGGATACATGACAGGGGTTTCAGCAGCAGGACAGGTCATTGTTTCTGGCTGGAGCAGTAAAAACAAAACCACAAAAATGTCAATCCCCTTCCCCCAAACAAAAAAAACTCCTATTATTCTTTAGGGGGGTCAGGTCAGTATAGTCATGGACCCAAACGTCCTATGCGGAGTGAAGTTCCACATTAAGAATGTTATAAGTGGAATTCTGTATTTCTTTATAGCGAAATAGTTTGTGTGACAGCGCTGGGCAAATCACATAGTACCAGCAGTGTCAAATGCCTCTCTATGGAAAATGCATCACGTATTTTCTTTACTCTTCATAACTGAATGCTGCCACAAGTAAGCAAGAAAGGTAAAATGTGCTGCTGGTGAAGAGGGTATTATGATCCTGTTGCTTTACTAACATTTAGTTTACATAGTTAGTAGGGTTGAATAAACACATCAGTCCATCCAATATATATAGCTTTCCTTGTATTTTGTTCTCACTAAAATGCCCATCTAAGAGTTTTTTGAAATTGGCATGGGAATAGCACTAGTTAGCTTGTAGCTTGATTATTTTCATGTACTGTCTGACATGTCCCTTTTTTATACTCGTCTTGTGATTTAGTACCTCAGAGGAGGGGTGCAACAGTGTTTCTTGTTGGGAATATTGAGTCGAAAAAGGGGGAGTCTGGGAAAAGAGAGGAAACTCAAGAGGTCGAGACAATTGGAGCATTGGATCAAGGTAATTTTATGTATACTTCAGCTAAGTGTAAATAATATACATTTTTGTTGTTACTTTGAATATGGTTAGGAAGAGTGGGAGCCTCTGTCAGGTTTTAATTGCTGCCTGTGTTTGCTTAGGAAGATTTGCACTGTGTGTCCGGGTGACATTCATCGCTTTTTTTCACTGGGATAGAAAGCGATGGGAAATCAACATTGTACAGTTGTCCCCAGAACATGTGATAGCTCTCCAAGAGGTGATTTCCAGTCACTTCCTAATTGAGAGCTCCCCAGTGGAGCCACAGACAATAAAAACCTTACAATGGATCTAACCCTTTCCCATTTAATTCTTAAACATTTTGAAGCTCTACTTAAAGTGAAATTAAGCTAAAAACATTTTTTACCTTCATACATTCCTTGCACTAGGGTAAAAAATGTTTTCTATCCCTATGTCCTCCCCCTATTTTGTGTGAAGGAGAAGAGGGGGGAGAATAGATCCAGTGCTATATACAGATGCATCTCTTCACCCCTCTCTTCCTCTTCACACAGCACTTGAGCAGCAGCAGGAGTCATTGGCTCCTGCTGCTGTCAATTAAATGTAGTGAGGAGGAAGTGGTGTGGGGTTAAGTCCCACTGTGCAAGTCTATGGAGCGAGGCTCCATAGACACACAGCTCAGGAGTGTGCAGACATTGTGTGCCTCCATAGCAAACTGCTTGCTATGGGGACACACAAAGAAGAGGAGGAGCCAAGATTGCCGGCGGGGGAACCAAGAAGAAGAGTATCGGGGCCGCTCTGTGCAATACCACTGCACAGAGCAGGTGAGTATAACATGTTTGTTATTTTAATTTAACATTTTTTTTTTACTTTAGTAACACTTTAAAGAGATTTTTTTTTTTCTTTCATTGCAAAAAAATTGTGTAATTGGGCTTTGATGGAAGCAGATTTTGCCCAATCTATGCCACACAAATTCTCCAGGGTAGTGACATGCTGAAAAGGTTCAGCTACACTGGCCCTGAAATAGTATGTTGCACATTTTGTCCCTGACTCAGGGAAAAGCTTCTGTTAAAGAAAATTCATATATTTGTGTTACTGCACTTTGAACTGAATCTGAGACACATCTGGTCTTTCTAATTTTCACCCTGGCATTCACCTTGTATAGCTGGTTAGCCTGCTCTCTAAATCAACTACCTTTTACCTTCTTCTTTGAGCCTGTGACTGCACATCCATCGTGTGTATTGTTCAGCAGTACCCAGTCTGAAAACAAGAGAGCCCTGTGTACTGAAGCACATGAACTGCAATACACAGAACTATGTGACAGCTGCATCACACACAAACCATGTAAAAAATTATTCTAAGAGAACTTGCTGACTTAAGCAGAGTTGATGTATTTCCTGGATAGTATTCAAATGTGTTCAACATTTTGTTAGAAAATAGTGAAATAATTTTTTCTTGCATTCCTTTTCAGTGCTGAGACACCGCGGCCACAAGTCAACTACAGAGACTCCTAAACACCCAAAGACTGAAGGAAATGAGAAACAAAAGCCGCTACCTAGTCATGACCCTTTGCACTGGTTTGGCATTCTTGTTCCTCAGAGCTTGCGCCAAGCACAAAATACTTTCCGCCAGGGTGAGTACATTTAAAGCCTACCCCCAGCCAAACTTAAAGCTGAACTCCAGGCACACTGCTGTGCTAAAACACAAAGCTGAAATTCATATATGTAAATAGTTTTACATGGCAAAAAATGTTTAGTTCCATTCAGCCAATCTTGTAATTCATGTACCCCTAAGAAACAGAACAGCTTTGTTTTTTCTTAGTTAAAGTAACACAGCTTAGTCAAGGATCCACTCTGACCTGTGAATGAATATTGAGGAAGCATCAGTTCACTGACAAGGTTATCAATTTCCTCTCTTCCTGTCAGAAGTTTGTGGTTTTTTTTTTTTTTTTTTTTTTGGTTGGTTTTTGTGGAGCATTTACCCCCCCCCCCCCTTCCTGAGCAGGCAATTTTTTGCATTACGGCGCTGCATTACTTTAACTCACAATTGCACAGTCATGCAATGCTGCACCAAAATGAAATTTATGTCCTTTTTTTTTTTTTTTTTTTTTTTTCTCACGAATTGAGCTTTCTTTGGTGGTATTTGATCACCTGTGTTTTTTTTTTTTTTTTTTTTTTTTTTTTTTTTTTTTGTTGCACTGAAAAAAAAAAAGAGACTGACAGTAAAAAAAAAAATAAATTTAAGCCAAAATGTATTCTGCTACATGTTTTTGCTAAAATAAAATCCCATTACGTGTTTGCGTGAAAGTTATAGAGTTTACAAATGGTGGTTTATATACTGGCTTTTTTTTTTTTTTTTTTTTTAATCTTTTTACTAGTAATGACAGCGATCAGCGACTTATAGCGGGACTGTGGCGGGCATTCTGACACTGGGAGGGGGACTGACTTCCCCAGTGACACCAATACAGTGATCAGTGATAAAAAAAAAAGCAGACACTGTACTAATGGCACTGGGCAGGAAGGGGTTAACATGAGGGGCAATCAAAGGGTTAACTGTGTGCTGTTTCACTTTATCCTGTGTCCGTGTGTTTCACTGTAATCACACTGCTTTACCTAGCCATCCAAAGCAGTGTGCATGAGCCAACAGGGAGGAGAACTGTTTTGTTTACAAACAGTTCTTTTTCCCGTTGGAGATCCTCAGCAATCACCGGGCGCCGCGAGTAATTACTGGCCGGGACACGGTGATTGACAGACTCGAATGGCGGCGCGGGTAGGGCACACACGTGCCCCCTATCCGGAAATGCGAAATCACATATATATATACTTGATTTTGTGCACCCATGCTGCCCTGTAGCGCTATTTCTGCTATAGGGCAGTTGGGAAGCAGATAAATTCTTGTAGAGGTATGCAACTGAACATAAGAGTATGACATGGCATTACATTCCTGATGATATCCATTAGCAGGCATGTAATATGCATACAGACAAGAATGTAAAATACGCTAACAATGTAATATACCTTGAACCACCACAGCAACACGATATAACTAAAGTTCAAGGCCAACTTACCCTTAGAAAAATTACATTGCTTTGTGGTGGAAAACGTATAGGAGGACAGGACTAACATTCTTATACTGAGAACATAGTAAAACTAGACATGGGTGGGGCAATGACCGCCTGTTCCCTGGCCTTGGAGCTAGTGAGTTTCTGTTTTTGATGGACACCATCATACAGTACAGTAAAGTCTGGCTTGGTGGTGCCCTTTTCTTAGTCTGTAGACAATATAAAGACAGTCTAAAGTGGATCTTTTAGGAGGTTTACAAGTCTGGCAAAGCATGCCATATGGAGCTTTTTATGCTGTGGATTAGTGGCTATCTGTCAGACAAGGCAATCAGTATCCTTTACTAAAGTGACAAGAAAATAAACCACCCACATAGTGTAATGGGCTTACATGAAAAGCTTAAGCAATTTATAAGTGCAAAAGGTTTTCATGAATAGAGTAGTTAATGGTTTGAAACCCTGGTCTGTACAGTAGCAATTGAACTCGTCAGGTTTTTTTTCTTGTCTGTGTTTGGAGAGATTTCTTTTCTCTTGCTGTCCCAGCGACACAAACAGGAAGTGAGAGGAATTCACTCCAAAATGAGGGGAAATCACCTCTTAACTGTCAGCCAGATCCATTTTATATTTTGGTTTACCTCTCACTTTTTCTCATTGTGAAAGTACAGTAGTCAGAAGGACAAAGAGTGTGAATCTGGGTTCCCAGTGGGGACATAATGAGAAATAGAAACTCAACAGGGGGTCTAATTAATTTCCAATTTATCCAACAATAACAGAAATGTTTGGTTGGAGATCTACATTAATCACTAGGTTACATAACGGAGTAAAAATTTCATATTTATGTGGTAAAAAGATTTTTTAAATATTCACATTGATGAGATAAAAATACACTAATTACATGTACTGATTACATGTACTGCATGTATGAAACTTAGTGATACTAAAGCTTTGTGGGGTTTTTTTTTTTGTTAGTTTTTTTTAATAAAATAACAAACCTGTTCTACTTACCTGCTCTGTGCAGTGGTTTTGCACACAGCTGCCCCAATCCTCTATTTACGGATCCCCTCCCGTGCTCCTGGCTCCTCCAACTCGCGCAGTTCCCTGTCTCCACTAATGAGGAAGGAGAGTCCCCATATAGCCGATTCTGTTGTGAACATCACTGGATCAGAGGGGGCTCAGGTAATGATTGGGGGGGCTGCATACAGAAGGTTTTTTACCTTCATGCATAGGGTGCATGAAAGTAGAAAAACATCTTTGAGCCTTTAGAACCGCTTTTAATTCAAAAGTACATTTCGTTTAACTTTTTTTTTTTTTTTTTTTTTTATATGAAAATAGCTCTTTCAGGTGTCAGAAATGTTGAAATTATCTATGAAATGTTTCCTTGTGCTGCCCTATTATATCTGCTGTATATCTTTAGTCCATTCCTTCTGTATTTCTAAGAAGAATGAAATGAGCAGCAAACAGCCATGTGATTTAGTTGAGTGGATGAAGGTCCAGCTTTAGCCAAGCCGGCTCTCATCTCTTATGTTGTCTTCTTTAGGTATCCTTCTAACTGCTGAAGTTGCCTCTCTACAGAGCAGCATCGATGAGACCCGCAAACAGTACCGAGCATTACTGACTGACAAACATCAGCTACAGTCTCAGTCTGTCTGTGCATAAGCTTTTTTTACTTCAATAATATTTAAGGGTCACTCCACCCAAAACTGATATTTCAGCTTTGACTGGCCAATTTTTGGTTGAATCAGGGGATACAACTATGGGACATTGCCATACATATCTCTCAATAGCTTCTGGGGTAAAATCTGCCTTCTGTTACTGCCTGTTCCCAACTCAGCCTTTATGAAGCAAAGCAAGGGGGTCTATAATGGGCTGTCAGCGATTATGTGCACTAGAACTGGTACAGACATTTTAGCTGAAATATCAGATTTGGCTTAACTTGTACTTCAGCCTTTTTCCTCAGGGCTTTCTGTTTTTATTCACGCACAATTCAGACTTGATTTTCATTAGATTATTTTCTAACATTCTGCTTTGATAATTTCTGTCTTTCCTGGAAATGTTTAATTCGCAAACTTTGAATTACACACAACTGGTGGCTTTCAACTCCCTCTAATGCTGTCCTGACTGGATCTTCTTCTTTGGTTCTGGAATCCCTGCTGCATTACCCACTTCTCATAAGAGCAAGACCAATTTATTCATTTGTTTAGTATTGTTAATTTCCTAATTATTAGAATTATTTTGGAGCTGCTTCTTGGATCTCTCCCATAGGTTATGTGTGAGTGCAGTTCATTTGGAATCTACTGCTGTGTGTGTGTGTGTGTATATATATATATATATATATGTGTGTATGTGTGTGTGTATATATATATATATATATATATATATATATATATATATATATATATATATATATATATATATATATATATATATATATATGTGTTTTTTTTCTGTCTGTAATTTAATGTATACATGTACTTGTTTGTTCAAATTAAAAGTGTATTATTATGCTAATCCCCATCCCTGGTTAATTTGGTGTCAGCCATTTTATTATTTTTATACAGGACCTGCTAGTCCAGTGTCTTGGTAAACATTTATTCACAAACAAACGCTGAGGACAGAGCCTGCAGGAAGCATACCCAACCTTCTATAGCCCCTCCCATGTGACCTTAGACAGCCAGTTGTAAGCAAGCATGGTTAACCGCTTCCCGCCTGCCTGCAATGTACTGCGGCAGGGTGGCATCTACAGGCAAAGCGACATACCGTTCGTCGCTCTGGCTGTACTAACAGAGGGGGACGCCGCACTCCCCCCTCGCGAATGCTGTGTCCAGCGGAATGAAGATCCCGGTGAACGGTAAGCATGTAAGCAAAGCTGTTATGAATCAATCTCAATAATAACAGCTCTGCTCTGCTTCCTAGTGAGCTGTGATTGGCCCACAGCTGTCATGCTTATACATGGGGCCAATCACAGCACTCTGTACCATGTGACCAGCTCCAGCCAATCACAGATCATTATCCTGAGCTGTCAAAACTTAACTAATTCATGACAGAAATGATCTTTATTTCTCCTGCAAGGCAAAGTGTAAAATAAAAAAAAAAAAAGAAATCCCCACACACTCTAGTACAATGTTACTATGGTAACATTGTACTGTTCTGAGAAGAATTAAAAAAAAAAAAAAAAAATTGAGAAATTTTTTTTTTTTTTTAACTACTTGCCAACCATTTACCCGCAATTTGCGGGCTAGCAGTGACATAATCTTGCATCACTTTCTATTTTGGGGTGTGAACCTACCTCCCCATCCATCGGTCCAGGGAGAGAAGAGAACACGGCACCAAGTAAAAGCACTACATTTTACACACACAGGTTAGATTAGCACATTTAACCCTTTGATCACTCCATCACCCAACCAGTGCCATTAGTACAGTGTCAGTATATAGAATTTTTCACTGATCACTGTTTTACTGCCACTAGCGACATCAGATTCAGGGTCAGTAAGCGCCCCTCCCAGCCAGGGTCAGCTGACATTAGATTGCCCGCACAATATAGGTCGCTGATCACCCACATTACTAGTATAGTGTTTGTACAGATCAAGATATTGATCACGAACAGAACTATACTAGTGCCTCCTTTGTATAGTGTAGTCCCCAAAAGTGCAGTGTTAGCAAGATCAGTCCCGTTCGCTGCCAGCGTTTAGCCCTTCCGTTGTTTTTCATGGAAAATTTGTATCGATTGTGAAGGCAATTTATACACACAACAATACATCGCTGTCCACCCGAATTCAGCTCTTGCCAGACAATTTGCATGGAAATCTATCACGGTTTCTGAATTTAAAACTCTTTTGGGCCTAACCCTCAACATTGGGCATTACAAAAAAAAATGAATTGCGGTCATATTGGTCCACAGACCTGATTCATGATATGCCTATGTTATCTGCTGTTACAAATATGCCCAACATGGACCAGCAAAATACTGGTACATCGCTGGACTTTGAGTAGTTATACCGGGATGATGCCTGCAGCTACAGGAATCATCCTGGTATAATTTTTTGCAGCTGGCGGTTGGCTTTCATGTAAAAGCAATCCTAGTGGCCAATTAGCTGCTGAATTGGTTTTACGAGCAGTGGGAAGGGAAGGGACATCACACCCCCACCATCCTGCCTTCCACAGTTTCTTTGGGCTCTCCTGTCCCAGAATGCAGCTGGAGGTTTTCAGCTGGCTGACCATAGATCTAATCGGAGACCAGAGTAACTCCAATCATCTCTATAGTCTAAGAACTCTGAAGCTACGAGCATTTCATCACTTCAGTTTCGCAGGATATAAACAGCGCCATTTGTAAATTGGGAAATCATCTGATCACACCGATCTTGGTGATATTAGGTAATGTAAGGGCAGAGGAGATATCTAGAGTCTGATAGTCCCCAGATTTCTCAAAAAAGAATCTATGACAACGCCCATTGACGTTATAGGGGATATTTGCATTCCCTGTGATAGCATTAAAAGTAATCAAAACAGAAATGAAAGGGACAGTGTAAAAATAATTAAAAAAAAAAAAAAAAAAGCATCCTTGCCCCCCCCCTGCGCACGTGCACAAGCGTTGACCCTGTGCCGATATGTAAACAGTGGTTTCACCATGCATGTGAGGTATCGCTGCAAATGTCAGATTGAGGGCAGTAAAAAATTTTCAACACCCACTGTTTTATTCTGTAGGGCCTCTGCTTTAAAAAAAAAAAAATATATGTTTTGGGGTTCAAAGTAATTTTCTAGCAAAAAAATAGTTTTTTCATGTGAACAAAAAGTGTCAGAAATGGCTTGGTCTTCAAGAGTGGGTGATGTGTGGCATAAGCTTCTAATGTTGGCCCTGAAATGCCAGGATAGTAGAAGCAACCCCTCCAAATGTCCCCTTTTTGGAAAGTAGACACTCCAAGGTATTTGCTAAGAGGCATGGTGAGTGTTTTGCAGATCTAATTTGTTGCAACATGTTTTTGGAAAATGAAGACAGAAAACAAAAATAATTTTTTTCTTCTCTTTTTTTCTTTTTCAAAACCTTGTGACAAAAATATCTGTAAAATACTCACCATTCTTCTTATGAAATTCTTTGGGGTGTCTACTTTCCAAAAAGAGGTCATTTGGGGGGGGGGGGGGTGTTTGTACTATCCTGGCATTTTAGAGCCTCTGAAACTGTGAAAGGTAGTGGAGAAGTGATATGAGGAAATATGCCCTCTGAAAGCCTGGCGGTGGTCATTGGATTTTGGGGGCTTGTATATAGCTAGGCTGCCAAAGTCTCTCACATGTGGTATCCACATACTTGGGAGAAGTAGAAGAATGTGTTTTGGGGTGTTATTCCACATATACCCATGGCATGCATGAGCAATATATCATTAAAGTGACAACTTTGTGTAAAAGAAAAAAAAAAAGTCATTAAAAAACATTTGTGGCAAAAAATAAAATGTTCCATGGACTCAACATGCCTCTCTGCAAAATCCTTGGGGTGTCTACTTTCCAAAATAGGGGTCATTTTGAGGGGGTTTGTACTGTCCTGGCATTTTAGCACCTCAAGAAATGTGGTAGGCAGTCAGTAAAAGCTACGTAAATTCCAATATATATACCGTAGTTTGTAGACGCTATAACCAATTAATATACATGTATTGGGATTTTTTTTTACCAAAGACATAGCAGAATACATTTTAGCCTAAATTTGACTAACTTTGAGTTTATTATTGGATATTTTTTATAACAAAAAGTGAAAAATACCGGTTTTTTTTTTTTTTTAATTTTCTGTATTTTTTTTTTTTTTTTGTTTATAACGCAAAAAAAATAAAAAACTGCAGAGGTAATCAAATACCACCAAAAGAAAAACTCTATTTATGTGAAAAAAAGGACATAAATTTTGTTTGGGTACAGCATTGCTCCACCGTGCAATTACCAGTTGAAATTGTGCAGTGCTGAATAGCAAAAAATGGCCTGGTCAGAAAGGGGGGATAAATCCTCTGGAGGGCAAGTGATTAAAACTTGATGTGTATATATAAAGTGATATATATTCAACCTCATGTTTTGAATATATTTCCTTCTGTTTGTGTCTTCTAAACAACTCTACTGTTGTTTTGGGTGACTACCATTTTCTTAAGCGTATTACCTGGGGAACAGATTTAAAGTCTAAAAAATTTTTTCTAAGGTATCTTTTATATGTTATTACTGTAGTTCTTCTTTAAATGATGTTAAGTACATACTAATGTCTGTACTCTAGCATATTATGGCTGCTTAGTATGGTGAGGGTGACATCACTTCTCACAGTTTGGTTTTGCAGACCATGTCATTGCCCTTCTTACTGCTGAATGAATTGTAATTTCATTACACTACAGCTGTGGCCAAAAGTTTTGAGAATGACACAGATATTAATTTTCAAAAATTCTGCTGCCCTAGTTTTTATGATGGCAATTTGCATAAACTTCAGAATGTTATGAAAAGTGATCAGATGAATTGCAATTAATTGCAAAGTTCCTCTTTGACATAAAAAAAAATATTTAATCCCCAAAAATACATTTCCTCTGCATTTCAGCCCTGCCACAAAAGGACCAGCTGCCATCATGTCAGTGATTCTCTTGATAACATAGGTATCAGTGTTGAGGACAAGGCTGGAGATCACTCTGGCATTCTGATTGAGT